TGCTCTCCTAATATTTCATCTTCCTTATCGCACGAATAGTATGGATCATGACCATCACGATCACGTCCAACTATTGGTGTTAACAATGGATAAACATCAATCATATTGAATCTTCATAAGATTTGTTTAATATACGTTAGCTGGTAGAAAAAAATACTACCATCTGTGAGATGCATTTGGAACACGATCCAAAATGAGCTCATGTAGTGAAACAATTTCAAGAGAAGTAGAATAGAGGCGTTTTAATGCTGCAACATATAAAATTACATAATCCCACATAGATGCAAATAAATTTGCGTAAAGGAGGAGTGGTCGGTTAATGAGTTGTATATGCTTTATAAATAACTTTACAAGTCCATTTTGAGCATCTTCATATGAAATACAATATATCAATTCAATTCCTATTTTGATACAATAGTCTTCAAAAGACTTTGATGCAAATTCTTTTGCATTATTTATATGCAATATTTTTATAGGATAATCAGGAAAATATGCTCAAAAATAAATAAGAATAGATATAAGATTGGCAAATACCATGTTTTGGATTGATAATAATGAAATATGTGATTATTTACTTGATGCATCAACAAAGACCAAAAAATAATGAAATGGTCCTGATATTAGATTAATAGGACCACAAATATCACTATGTAACCTTTCAAGCATTAGTGGTAATTTTTGTAGGAGTTTCCAAATTGAAGGCCGAGTAATCATCTTGCCTTACACGCATGCACCACATAATTCTATAGAGTCTATATCTGCAAGCTTTAAATTGTATCCACTTATACATGAAAATGATCTTTTTAAATAATGTAAATCTTGAATGTCCTAATCATCCATGCCAGAGAAAAGTACAACTCTCTATGATAGATGATGCAAAATTAAATATAATGGGAGGCCAAATCGCAATTCGATATAAACCATTTTTTTGTAATAAAAGTTTTTTCAATAACTTTATGGTTTTTTGCAAGAACCAAAACTTCTTTTCTATTTAAAATGAGGGTCGAGAGGTGATAACCATTGATATGCACATCTTGATAGTTGATCAAACTCCAAGGTGTTGATGGTGCAAACATCGCATGTTTACATTTTATAATGAAACTTGTAGGTAATTTTACCATCATTATTTCCTCTTGGAAACAAAACGCATTTGTTCCATCCATGGTCATCATATTTTTAGTTTGCCAAGTTAAAGATTTTTCAATAAAAACTTGTCTATCCCATAGGATAATATGTGTTGTTGTAGAATCAATGAACGCATCATTTGATTCATCATTAGAGGTTTTTTCATTCATATAAGCTTCTAAATCATTAACACCAATTGAATCCATGGATATATCTATGGTATGAACTTTACGAGTCTCAGCTCGTAGTTTCTTATTTTCTTAGAATATTTTAATAAAATATTTTGAAGTATGGCACACATGTATTAAATGTCCAATCATTCCACATTTATAGCAAAAATACATCTCTGATTTTTATTTTTTATTATAATTAATAGTAGAACGTTTATTCTTTTTACATGGATAGAAATGGTAATGACTATGACTGCCTCCATACTTATGAGCACCTTTTGTCATGGACATATACATTTACCTCAATAGTTACTTATACGATTAAGTAGAAGTAGATAAATATAGAATAATTTCATAAAGTCTTCTAGAAAGCTTCCTAGAAGCTTTATAAATGCGGTTTGATTTTAGATGTGTTTGTAGGTTAGAAACTTGGTCAAAAAGCTAACTATGTATTGGTAGCTTGTGGAATAAGTTATCTCCGTATTGTAACTTGTGGAACAAGCCAACTACGTGGTGCATACATAGATAACTTGCCTTGCAAGATAAGACATGAGGTTAGCAAAGTCAACACATGTTAGAGGTCCTATAGGACATCGCCACATAGCTCTTAGTTAGATAGTATATATGGAGGCAAGAGTGAAGCCTTCTTCACTCTTTTCAATGCCTTTCTAGTCTTAGTTTTATTTCAAGACTTTCTAGTCTTCTTATTTTTGGCAATAGCCATTCTAGTTAATACTACATCACCTTTTGAGTGACTTTCTAGTTCTCTTCAATGATAGAAGAGTATATTGAGGATTCTCTTTCTTCGAGATTTAAGTCCTTGACATCTTTTCTATGTTTATATAATTTTTTTTAGACTTTGAAATATTAAATACATGAGATTTTGGAATTGTAGTTCAAATAGGACGAGCTTCCGCATTGCACAAGTGTAGCTCATTTTGCTTCTTTACAAGAAGTAGATAAGATATGAGATCAAAATGACTCTAAAATTTCATGTTTCTATATTGTTGTGCAAGCACAATAGATACATGAGGAAATGTAAAAAGAGTTTTTTCAATCATTTCTTCTTCAAAGATGCTTTTTCTATATAATCGTAATTGTGGGACAATACTATATATTTCACTATTGAAAGTATTTAAATTAGGAAAATCCAAGACACGTAAATGTATCCAATTATGACATGGACGTGGAAGGAAAAATGGTCTTTCCATGATCAAACTTGAATTTAAAATTCTTCCAAAGTTCTGTACGATCTTTTGTTTCTAAATATTGATGTTGTAATGCAAGTATGAGATGACAACGAAGGAGAAGAAGTGCTTTCCATTGGATAGCAATAGGAATAGAAGTAGTTATTGTAAGAGATTCTGCAAACATAATGGCATTCAAGAGTTGTTTTCTAAATAAATTTGATTTTGCTATTTTTGCTCACAATAGATAATTGTTTCCATCTACAATCAATATAAGAGCTTGAAAATATTGGGATGCAATGGTAATAGTTGGAACCATAGTAAAAGCAGTTGAAGATGTTGAAACATTCATTATAAATAAATTTGTAAAGAAAATACAGGCTCAAGTAGAAAAGTTGAGTAAAATGTACCTTAAAATATAAAGTCAAATAAAATGATAAAGTTGAATTTGAAGTCAAAAATATTAATTATTATTATTATTATTATTTGAACAAGGTTGTAGATTATGGCAGTAGAAGAATAGCAACAGGGCGGCGGTGGCAACTAGCGGTGGCTGCAGCAGTAAGCAGCGTTAGCAACAATGTCGATGGCAAGCAACATTAGTGTGAGCAGTAGGATTGAAAGCAAACTGCATCAGCATTGGCGGGAAGGTCAGCGGCATGCAACTTTATCATTAGTGACAAGGTCAATGGCACGCAACCTCACACAGTGGTGGTGGCTATTTGGTAACTGTTTGGTGGCAAGTGCAAGGTGCAGCAGGGAAGGAGGGCTAGAGCAAGTACTTTAAGCAAGGAGCTAAGATGTGAGAGGCCAACAAGAAGTGGAGCAAGATCATGAGTCACACACCAAAGTAGTAAAAATCATACAAGAAGCAAGAGTAGCAACATGTTTGAAGAGTCAAGACTAAAGTAAAAAAATGCAGTAGTGTATAGGAGCAAATCATGCTGATAATGTGTTAAGAATGTTTAGAAAGACACAAGAGCAGTAATAAGTAATATACACACACACAAGACAGTTTGTAAGGAGAAAGAGCTTCACACTTAAAATCTATTGATCTCGTTGTGTCTCATATACAAAAGGAGAAGGGGAGAAGATAAACAGTTTCTCTCTACTACATTCCAAATACTATAGCTACAATATTTACTATAAACTATAGTAAATATTCTAGAGAGCACCAGCTACATTTAATGCTCTCAACAATATGAACCAAATCTTTGCAAATTCAAAGAAACCTTCATTTAAAAAAAGTTGGGTAGGGTTGAAACAATGGAAAAACCTCTAATTAAGATATTACAAATCTGATGAAGAGTATCAACCACACATATTACTCCTCACACAAGCCAAAAGAAGAAATTTACCAACCTCCATGAACCACGGCAGAAAAGAAATTACCATAACATGAGTTTCAGTGTCGTGAGGTGAAAGAGTTCACTGAAGTTTTACCTCGGTTAACTTAGAGAGCGAGAATGTCATTTGGGAAAGCAAATTGCTAAACAATGAGAGAATATCGCAATTAGAGTGCAATTGGACGGTAAAGGGGCAACAGATTGTGGGCCGGGTAGGAAAAAGGAACGGGAGGGGGGGGCTTATGGCGGCGCTTCGGGAGCGTGGGAGCGCGCACAGCGGCTGAGAGAGGAGTACAGATGCAGCAGCATGTGTGGAACTCCGCAGGTCCACCGTGATTCTGAATGATTTGGAAAAGCATTGCTGGAATTTTTGATGGCTAAGGCGCACTTTGCGGTCAGTGGGCTTAGGGCAGAGCGGATTTTCTGGGTTTTTCTTATCTACTCCTAGAAGGAACACAGTGCTAGTGGTTTTACCGTGTGGGAGGCTCAAGCAGTCCGCCGCGTTCTCGTCCTTCTTTGACATTTTGGCTTCTCGTTCCTCTCTGAGCCGGCTAGTCGGCCTGCGGTGCTGCGCGGAGAGGGAACAGGGCTCCGGGCACGCCATTTCTGACGGTCGATATTGCGGGAGAAGAATCAGGCGTGCATGTCCAGTTGAGGCGTGGACACGAGGACGGAGAGAATCCGTGTTGAAGAATTTTGGTGGCGGAGTGTTTCTGGTGAAGGCGTATGTAGGTGGAGAATTGGTTCAAGTTTTGAGTGGAAGTGTGTCACAGCCGGGCGGAGCCATGCAGAATTGGTGTAGCAATCAGGCCGCCGCCGCTTGTGTGGTGCTGCTGTGATTGTGGACGCCATAGTGGTGGTAACGCGCTGGTTGACGAAGAGTTTTCAGACGCTAGTTTTGGAGGTTGAGTTGGAGTAGTGGATGCAGCGCTGAGAGCGAGTTCGTGACTCAAAGGAGTGTAATTTTGCTCGCTGCTCGTCTGCAAGCGAACATTGTTAAGGACTGTAGTGGCGTCGTTGAGGAAATTATTTGATTGTACGGAGTATATGGTGCATTGTCCCTTTGGAGACCGAAAACGCGTCGCGATTCTCACTTTCTCCTATGATATCTCTGTTTATTTTTTTAATCTTTTCCATCGCAACTATCGTAGCCCTTCTTTATGTTGGGAGAAGGCATTCGCTTGTGAGAGGCCGTTTGGAAGCTAGAGATCAGAATTACAAGTAGTTGGCTGAGCAAATTAGAGTATCACTTTGGGGAAATTTCTCAGTTCTATGAGATTTAGTTTCAGCAACGAGAGTGGCCACAGCAGTGGACCTCTCTGTTCTCTGACGTTTGCATATCTTTGCATTGTCTGCGGACGACAATTATCGGGCTGAGAATTATTGGATCACGGTAGGAAGTGCTGTGCACTCGTCGAACTCGCATTGCTCTAGAAAGTGTGAACTATGTATGGATTACATGGTGAGGCCGCCTGTGGATGCAAAGCTGGGGCGATCTTGTGGATCGAAGCATGGTTCGGAGATTGTGTTTATTCTTACTGGGAGTTGACATCCTTTTACCTCGGCCTGTTGTCACTATTGCTTTGGTTAGTCGCTCAAGTGCCGCAGCTTATCAGCAACTGGCGTCTGCAGAGTGCGGAGGCTCTTTCCCCATGGTTCCTCTTTCAATGGCTTGCGGTGCGCAACCTTTTCCTGTATCGCTTCTGGTACATGTGGGCTTTTTATTCAAATACTTGATTTACAAAATTTTAATAGGTATTATTGTGTATTATTACAAATTTTTATGTCAAGTATGGAAGGCCATTGCTGTTAATTACCCATTTTTTTTTATTGTTACAGTGGACCTACTTCAGGGCGATATTTTAGTCGCTTCTGTCTAGGGATAAAGCTTAAAGAGGTTTATTCACTTAGGGGATCAAAGGACATAGTAACTTGCCGGTTTTTATTGTGTAACTTGTGGTCATCAGAGACGTGTCACTGTCGAAAGGTAGCGGATTTCATCTATTATGCAATTGACATTTGCAGGGAGATTCTTTTAACTTCATTGGATGTCTTCTTACTGGCGATCAACTCGCAACTCAAAACTTGTCAGCTGGCTACTTCATGCTTTCCGACTTTGTGGTTATTAGTCAGGTGAGCACTTCTTTAGCTGTTACTGTTAGATAATGGTGGTGTATTACAATTGCCTAGATAATAACAGTGTGCTTTTTTTACACTGTCACACTTCTTAAAAAATTGTCTGTAGTTGGTCATTGGTGGGATTTTATTGTTGAGTTATTGCACGTCAATGACTTGAGCAAAGTTGTTCTGTGCCAGTATATGTATTACCAGCAACCACGATATCAGGAAAAAGAATTACTGCATTCTAATGATGAGGATGGAAAGAAGTCGATCGCCGGAAGCTCAGAGGTGGTGTGCACTCCAGCAGTTTCGTCTTCTGGTCCGTCAGGTTAGAATCTGGCACATGATGTTACATGCACAATATTTCTTAGCATTTCTTGACTAAGCTATGTTTAGCAACTACTCTTGCGTGGACACGCATTTATCAAAGCATAATCTCTGTTGATTCAGGTGTGATATGTTCTGCTATCAAGCTACCTTAATTTGCAATGATATTATTTATGTTTCTTGATGGGATTGGGTAACTAAGATGGAAAAACATGTATGGGGTGTAGAAACATGTAATTTCAAAGATATCGAGAATGCGGGAGATCAACGACTGAAAGGCTTGCAAAGACATTTAGCACAATGTCCATGTGGAGAGGCAGTACCTCTGTTGCTAAACCAAGCTCATGATCTTAAGAGTTCGAAGCGTGAAAATTTCAAAGCACTGCCTTCACATACTCCCTCATCCCCTTCAACCAACAAGCATCTACGACGGGTTGTCATGCAGTATGGATTGGAGTATGGTCCTCCTACAGGATCACTTCTCAGGATGCACCATGGTCCTCTTAGGAAACATGGTAAATACGTTCGGCGAGCTGCTGCTGTTGTGGTCAATCTTGTTGGCCTTGTTTGTCTAGGAGCTACCGCTTTTGGTTCAGGGTCGAGGAATCAGCCTGCAATCAAGTCAGAGGGATGGGCGGTTGGAAGGAAGTTGCTGGTCATCTGCAACCATCCAAGAACACTGTGGATGAGAAATAGTGGAACGTTGATTGGGTGTGCTTTTTGCTCATAATCCTTGCTGTTGCCTCTTATCTGTACAAGCTTGTCTGCATTTATCATGACCTTGTACTTTCATTGAGGATCAGATGAAATTCCACCAGTGAGGAGGCAGTCTTCTGTCGATTTAAGAGAGTAGCAGTGCTTTAATGATTTTAATTCCTCCCCATGTAGTTGTGCTACTTTATTTGGTACATAAGCGATGAATTCGTGTCAAGCTGGTTTTTCTTTTGATGAAATGGAATGTGAAACAACTAATCATTTGGCTATTGTTTGTGCAGATGGGCATCTGCATCTTTATACCTGGGATCTCGAATATCTCAAGTAGTAAAGAATGCGGATCGTGGATCTGCGGAGGGCTTATCACTTGGTATGGTTTTGTGTGCAATTTCGGCAAATCTCGCTTACGGTGTCTCCGTTTTTATGCGGCTTTCCTCTTGGTATGTATGCCACTACCCAGGTTCCTTTAGTGACGTTGAGTGTTACCTTATAAATTACTCAGAGTGAAGAGTAGAACATCACACACACACACACACACATGCATACATATTAAGCATGAAACGAATTTATCTGGTTTCATATTCTGCATTGTAATCTTTTTGCTTATGCTTCTCTTTTGGTTGCAAAGGCAAGAGTTCGTTGCGAAGGCACCATGGATAGTGGGTAGCTTAGGAACCGTCTCTCTCGACATCATCCTTCTTCTGCAGGTTTGTAATTTCTGACTATATCTTGCTGAAGATTTTTAGTTCTGGCTAGTTTATTAGAGTAGTCTCTGGTTTTCAACTATGCACTGCAGTGAGTACTCGGAGGGAATACTGACTTAATTTAATATTGCATATTTTACAGTCGCGTTATCTAACTTGCTACGCTCAATCGAGGAAAGACAAGTTGAGTGAGCATACACCATTACTAGCCTGACCAAATAGACTTTCGATTTTTACATTCAATGCAGCTCTAATTAGCATGTACATAATTGTACTTGTACTCACAAATATATTATGACACACCCAACATTGGGATTTCAACCTAGTAGAGCAGGTGTAGTCCTCCACTGATCTGCATGAACTGAAATTAGTAGCATCAACCGGATGTTGCCTGTATGGTGGCTTTCCATGTCGGCAAGATAATATGGAAAATGATCAAGCGTTTCGAGGATCTCGAAATGCAAAGCATTTCACTTAATTTTACATTTGCAAATCGTAGTGGTTTCAGCAGAATGCAGAACCATTGCAAGGTTTTGAGTGGAACCAAGGTTTGATGTGTATTATTTCAATTCTAAAATGGATATGTCTTCATGATGCTTATTCACGCATGCTACTGCTGATGCTCCTGGGACGTTACTGGAACAAGGTCCAAACTCCAGCCGAGCTTGAGGATAATTAGATTCAGTTTACGACTTAGAGCTACAATATCTGGAGAAGCTACTTCAGGATTCCTACGCTGTCTGGTGTTGCCATTGTGTTTTAAGGCTTTTAAGCAGTCTTACAGCAACATTCGGAGAATTTTTTGTCTTGCTATTTTAGAGGATGCTGATTCCTCGACATGCATGCTTGGTAGAGTTTTGGCTGGAGATAAAAAAAACAGCAATCCGTTCTTCATTTTTGTGAAATGTACAAGAAACTTGAAATAAGAAGCAATGGTATGATATTTATTGCTTGTATGAACTATTTTACTACCAAAGACCTGTGGTGATTTGGATTTTGATCAAATCCATTTTGCCGGGTCATTGCACAAAGTATAAATCAAATTGATGCAAGTATAAATCAAATTGCACGAAGTATTAATCAAAGAAGCTTTTCTGCATTAATACAGCTTCTAAGAAGCTTCCAAGAAGCTTTATTAATGTGGATTTGACTTTATACATGTTTATAATTGATTAGTAGGTTAGAAACTTGACTAATAAGTTGGCCATATTTTGCATATGTTGGAAACTTGTGTCGTAAGTTGACCATGTAACACATATAAGAAACTTGTCTTATAAGTTAGACACATATCTTGCAAGTTAGACATGTGTCAAAGGTCCTATAGAATATTGCCATGTAGCTCCTAGTTAGATAATATATATGAAGGTAAAAATGAAGCCTTGTCTACTCTTTTCAATATTTCTTTTTGTCTTTAGACTTATCTCAAGAGTCTTTAGCAAAAGCTATTCTAGTTTTAATATTATACCATCTTTGAATGATTATTTATTCTTTTTTAGTGGCAAAAGAATGTATTGATCTTTTAATTCTTTGTAATTCATGTCCTTCACAATTTGACATGAGTGCTAATTCATTGTACTTATTTTGCTTTAGAAGTGAGTAGATTATCCTACTTCTTTTGTTGTACTTTAAAGGTTGCAAAGTTTCCATCTTTCAACTAATACTTTTTTGTTTTCTAATGTTGATTCTTTTTGTAAAAAGAGCAGCTTGCCTCTCTTTGTAGAAATTTTTATTTGATATTAGAAGTTGTAGATTTGTTAAAATCATTTCTTATATATATATACATATATATATATATATATATATATATATATGTGTATTCATAGATATTATTTTTGACAAAAGTGAGAATAGATTTGCAAAAGTGAGAATAGTTTTGCAAATATTATAGAACTTTATGAACTTATCAATACTTTTAGAGTAGAAATCTTATTAATAAAGTTGAAGATGGAGGTAATATTCTTATGCACATGAAAGAAGTCAACAATGAAGTTCAAAGTCCATGCAAAGAAGTTGTGCAATTGAGAGAAGCAAATAAATCAAACCTATAATGAAATCTAAAAAGTCTTATTACTACAAATATAAAAAAAATAATAATAAGTTTATCAGAGAAGTTTGATTGAAAAAGATCAAAATTTTTAGGATTTTTATACCAAATCAAATTCTATTTAAAAATGAATCCTTCTTAATATCTTCATGGATTTATTCAAGTTAGATTTATAAATATACTTCTATCTAGAAGTGCTTTCTTTTGGTTTATATTTTTTATGGAAAATGATTTACAATTCTTCTATGATCTAAATTTATTCTTAGAAGTATTTATGGCCATATTTTAAAAAAACAATTAAGAATAAATAGCAAAGATTAAAGTTCTATCTTTTTGACAAGAATCACACTTAGTCACTACATATGCTACTGAATTTCAAAACCTTACTTGGAATGTAGATTGAAATAATAAATTTCTTATCAATCAATTTTAATATGAATTAAAAGATAATATCAAAGATTATTATTAATAATATCAAAAATAGATCCATTTGAACAACTTATTAATTAGGCCATTAGATGTAATAATTAAATTTTTAAAAGATGTCAAGAACAAAGATTTTATTGGACAAAAACAAGTCAAGTCATAATAGCAACTTTTAAGTTTTTATAAACTTATTCATCAAAACCAAAATTAATGTAAATTGATATGATATATTTCAAGTTTTTGAGTGAATAATAAAAGATTCAAAGTTGTCAAAAAGTTTTGTGCTTATATAGTAGAGAATCTAAGTACACTATTCAATATTGTCTAAAGAAGCAATGTAATCACAAAATAAAGAGTATGGTTGCTAAATATAGTAATGTATTGAAAAACAAGTTTTTTCAACTACAATAGAGAGTATGTCGTTGGAATCTAGTGCAACATCTAATAAAGGTTTTATTCCCTCTTTAGATCCCTCATTGTGCTTTAAAATTGATATTGATTTAGGAAAAAAAAATCACAAAGTCTTTATCTTGTTAAATTCTAGAGTTTCAACTTATTTTTAAAATGAAGACTTTGTTAAAAATAGGAAATATCTTTAATCAAAAAAATCAAGTTTATATATATAGAAGTCATAGATGGCCATTTGTTGTATTGATGAGATGTTATCTATGAAATTATTCTTTTAAATATAGCAATTAATGGATATAATAGCAAAATAATATTTAATATTATTAAATCTTTCTTTAATCTAATTATTTTAGGATTATTATGATTAAAGAAGTGTAATCTTTAAATAGATTAATTTTCTTGTAATCTTAATTTTTTTAATTGCATAACTCAAACTTCTATTATCAAGGTAAAATCATAAGTCTATTACAATCAAATTCTTATTAATAGGTACAAGAGCTTTTATGAATGTTCCAAAAAAAGATCATCTTTTGATATTTATGCCACATCCATTTTTGATGGTAAAAAGAATTTACAATCAGAATTTTTTAAGGAAAAAAAAAGAATAAAAGAAAAAATTAAAATGCATCCAATTTCAAATGTTTATAGCTTTTTTAATAAAATATTAATTTAAATAATTTTTTTTCTTATTTTTATTGGATTTTTTTCCTTTTTTACAATAAAAATCTTAGATCTAACAATGATATTTATAACTATAAGATTAAAATGACCAAAAAATTAGGCAGTAAGAAAAAACAATCTCAAGAGAATAAATAAAGAAAATAAAGGTGATAGAGATAATGTGAATAGCAAGGCAAGGAGTAAGTCTAATTTGGTGTAGCTAGAAGTTGATAAAGCAAATAATAGAGCAATTGGGAAAAGATTAAAGAGTAGCCCAAACAAAAAAAAAAAGAGCTTGTGAGTTTATCCTACAAAAGGAGATAAAAGAAAATGAAACCTACAATTGAGAGAAGACAAAGTTAAAAAAGAAAATTGAACAAAAAAAAGATTTCCAGCTCATCAAATAAAGAAGAAGATTGAACAAAAAAAAGATTTCTAGCTCATCAAACAAAGGAGTAGTCAACAAAAAGACAACCGCAACTCACTAAGCAGAGATGCGGATAAAACAACTACACAGGTAAAGAGATAATTTATTGTTTATTAAACAAGGACATAGAAAATAACATTTAATTGTAGCAATATGTTAACTGCTTGGTCGTAAAAATATCAACACAAACATGATTCAAGGCTTATTGAATAAGAAAATAGACAAACACAACAATATTTCAAGTAGGAAATTGATAGGCAGTAATAGCTAAATGTAGTTGTGACAACCAAGGCAATGATCAGTAGCAACAACCATGAGCATTATAAAAGATTAAGAGTGAGAAAAAAATAAAAATAAAAATCTTGAATCCTAGCAAAAATAATTAGTCACAACTTTATTGATACCTCTGTTGAGGAAGCAGAAAAAGAGAGATTATAAAAAAAGAGTGTTCTTGGACAAGTGCCACAATTGACCCACATCAAAACAACAACCTAACAACAACTTAATTGCAAATCCTTAGCTCATGTTATAAGTAATTTTCAACTTTCATTTATTCTTATGTGACATAAGTTCCATGCATCATGTCGAAGATCATAGAATATTAATATCCTAAGTCTCAAAGAGCCACTCTAGAGTTAATTAGTGTATGCATTGACAACCAACAAAAAGTATTAGATAGGTGAGAGAAGAGAGAAAATTTATATATATATATATATAAGCTATGAGACAAAAGAGAGATGACCGAAAAGAAGAAAAAAAAAAAGAAAAAAAAAAGAGACACCATCGAGCAAGAAAAAAAGAGGGAATGTAAGAAAAAAGCTAAAGAGATGAAGGTAACAAATGATAGAGACAACAACAAAAAATTGACCAAATAGAAATAATTTATTGACTAATTGCACATTGTCATCTACATGCTTAGATTAACTCCAACTTGGGTTTTTAAAAATAAAGTAGAAAAAATCTCCCTTACTAATAACCTCTAAATCCACTAATTTTGTTTAAACTTTAATTTTTTTGCAAGCATGCTAGAAAACTTAAACATATATATATATATATATATATATATATATAATATGTAAAGTATAAAATTTGAAGTTTTTCTATAATTTACTATTAGAAATATAATTGGCTAAGAATGGGGCATGACTTGGAGCATAAAATTATGCCTAAATTGGATAATAAAAAATTGACTAAATATATGATTTTTAAATACAAAAAATCTAATTCCAAATATTTACAAGAATAAATTCAATAACAAGGCATATCAATTTTATTCCATACTAATCTAGTTTAAAATGACACATAGACCATAGATCTTAATACTACAAACAAGTGCCTTGTTATATCTATGCAAAATTTATTTAAAATTTATTAATTATCTTTAATTATTCACCATATGATTTTTCTACCAGAATTAAATTTATAGCCATGCAATCATATAGCATTATTGTGGTTTGATTCATAGGTAAGAATACAATATGCAAGACCTAATATTAAAGTAAACAATTTGAATCTAAGACTGCTAAGCTCATATTTTGCAATGCTGCTAGATTTAAATTTTTGCTTAGTTATTCTAATTTTTTTGTATTTTTTTTTAATACTTCTAATTATTAAAGATTAAATTTTTACAATTTTTTCATTTAGTAAAAATACATTTTATCCTACCAATTATTTTTAAGATTCAAGAAATTCCTTCAATTAGATTTTTTTATACTAATTCATCTAAAAATAATTTTTTAGGTATTATATGTGTAATTTTATTTCAAAAATTATAAAAATTTATTTCAATGACTTATACACATTTTATTTATTAATTTATTTATTTTAATAATATCTATCTTTTCAATACTTGGCATGTGTTTATATAATCCATACATGTGTCCAACAAAAAGAACCTCATTTATTCCAAATATAAACTTTGCACTTAACAAAGTCAAAGGTACTTTCTCAAACCTTAATAAAATCTTCTTACAATCCAAATATGTTTTGGAAAAAATCTATTACATCTTCTTTGATACAATGTCTTATTTTTTTCTTTTTCTTTCTTTTGTATATCTTTTAATTGGAACATCATGTAAGAATTACATGCTTTTATCTTGTATTATTTCCTTAATAATTTATTCATGCCATTCATCATATGAGTTACTAAATTAGTAGTCTTTTGAAGTAATGCACACATTTTTATTAAAAGTAATAAAATATTTATAGTAGTTAAATCTCTACTTTGTAATACCAATTGAAATCAATATTATTATGAGTAAAGATCATTTATTAAATAGATTGTTCTTTCAAAAAATACCTTTGCAAATTCATCCATAATTGGACTTGAATATATATTATTAATAATTATCTTATTCTCAGATTGTATGTCTTAAATAAATATTATTATTTTATTTCATTTGATACTATAACTATTAATTTGAATAAGATGCTATAAATAGTTCTAAAATCTCTATTTTAATCTTTTTATTAAATAAGACCATAAACTTGGATAAATATGCTCTTAGTATTAAAAATTGGTTGCAAATTCCATAATTCATGAAGAATAGTAAAATTAAATATAAGCACCACAATAATTTGATTAACATATTTAATCTCATATTAATAAAATATAAATGTCTTTTTTATGTTGTAAAGACACATCTCTAAAATATTTTTATTTTTATATTTTTAATCTCATACATCTAATTTTTAATCCATCTAATATAGCATTTGTAAATTCTTGTCTTATTTTTTTAGGATCTCTAAAATTTGATTACATAGATATTCCTCTTGCCTTTTCTCTCCAAACAAATGGTAGTGATAAAGTTATTGGTTTAATCTTCTTTGTCATAAATTTAGAAAATTATTGAATCAACCTAGATATTTACTGAATCCACATACCTATCATCATTAGTTGAGGATCTAATCATTTTTTCATTGATTATTAATTAATGTGGATTTGGTAGTAGAGAATTTTATGATCACGGTTAGAATGAGTGGATCAATTTAGAAAATACTTTGGTAAATTAAATAATTTTAAAAATTTATGCTTAATTTTATTTCATACTTTTTGGCATTTAAAATTTTCTATAAATTTTATTATATATATATATATATATATATATATGAATAGATAATCTAATTTAATTATGATATTTATAAAATCTATTTTTTAAAATTTTCTTGAAATAAATTTATTATTAATTAATTTTCTATTTAAAAAAATTATTTGATATTTTAAATATATTTTTTGTCCATCTTTTTTATCTTGTTAAAATTTTTAAATGTTAATAAAAAAAACTTGTATTAATTCAATAAATCCACTAGATAATAACTTATCTTTTTAAATTAAGCAAGAATATTTTTTTATTCAAACCATTGCAATCTTATTTTATAATAGTCTTATTAAGGACAAGAATTTAAAGAATGAATTAAACAAGTGATATATGTGTCAAAAAAAGATGATAGAAAGAGAATAAAAAATATGTATATTTAAGAAGAAACCAAAATGGCTATTGCAAAAGACAATAAAGCTATAGACACTTGAAACTACACTAGAAGTAAAAAATGAATTGACAAGAGTGAAAAAAACATCATTTTTGCTTTTATATATACTATCTAATTAAGAGCTATTTGACAATATTTTATATGACCTTCAATATGTGTCCAACTTACAAGACACATGTCTAACTTGCAAGATAATTTTTCATGTATGCCATATGGTCAATTTGTACCACAAATAGCTTGTGTATGACACATGGCCAATTTGTTGGCCAAGTTTTTAATCTACCAATTGCTTATAGATATGTGTAAAGTCAAATCCATATTTATAAAGCATCTCCATAAAATATTATATAATTTATTCACTTTTAATTAAATCTATTTAGATTCCTCTTACATAGATATTTACTAATTTTGGTTATGTCTATGACATGTATGCAATAAAAATTTATAAAAATTTATTTTAATATCAATTGATGATTTGTTAAACAACATTTCTTTTTAAAAACGTGTCTTAAGAAATGCACTTGATGGTTGATGACTGAGTTGATTATGTACAAAATGTTTGAGATTTTATTTTGTTACACATGCAACCATTGTAAATGTTGCATTGTTATCCAATACCATCGCTACACAATCTATCTTGGATAAGAAGAAAGCGGAAGAATTTAAACTATAACTAACCAACCCTTACACAGATGCCATCATACGAAACATGATTCAGCACCTTTTACAAAGAAACCTAAATTTGATGCAATTTTCTAATAACCTTGGGAAGAGTATTTCAATGGAATTTGAACGTAACAAAGCAATGTGCATCTGTTTTGCGTAGTAATCACCTGAACTCGGCTTTTGTACGACTGCATTAGAGTAAGGTTAAATCGTCAGAGTTTAACAACTTTCTGGCTGTACCCAATTGCTCACTCTCTTTCATGGGGATGGATGACGTAGCACGAATCCAAAAAATGAAGGCAGTGCTACCACGGGTCTGGTTGTAATTGATAGTATCGCCACTAATGAGTTTAAACAAATGCACGCACTAACGCCGAAGGCTCTTTAATCGAATCAGCAAGTTGCAAAGGTGTTAGGATATGGGTGAGGCGCACAACTAGCCCCACGTGAGACCAACATGCTCTCCAGCAACTCGAAAGTAACAGAAATCAGTCGTTTAAAGAAATGTGTATGGGTCGTCTTCCTGATCCAGGGCGGACAGGGCGGAGTTGTGGTACGAATTTCTCAGGCCTGTTGACGTTGAGCCTTGTGCCCGCTGCACAAGCCATATCCAACTGCATGAGAAATTTCAGGTGGAAAATGCATCTCATGAATAGTTATATTCTGTCAACTCCTTCATCCTGCAATCATGTGTTTCCAAAAGACCATATTTCATTTTGGACAAACTTGATTTTTCGCCGATAGAATGCCTCTAAATACATGATGAAGGGAATGACAAGAGACAAGACCGGACTTTAAAGTCTTGGTTTTACAGAGGGGAGCTGTAGACAAAATTAGCACTGGCCATGCCATCCAGTTGAACTAATTAAAACTATTATGATCAAATTGAGGGACTAGATGATAAAGACAGACAGATTGAAGATTCTCACAGATTGCTGATTTGACGTTTTACTGCAGTGCTTTGACTTTGTGCGTGTGCTTCTGATCCTTTTTGGTACTGACAAGCCTTCCGGTTCGAGATCCTGCTGCAGGACCTCACATTTTTTATCTTTCCATGATCGATTGGTTGTCTGCTGTGATCCGTTTGTATCTCTGGATATTGCAGGACATCTTCGACCGTCCTGATACGAAAACCACGACCAACTCGTACTGTCGTTAATGAGATTTAGTTGAGGCTACACAATCATATCACCTGAACATATTCTTCATTTCCTATGAGTCATTTTAATTGTAAAAAATTCATTGGACAGAAGTTTTGGGTTACTGTTTTTAATTATCCCAATAGGAGAGCTCAAGTTGCTTCTGTGAAGACTTCTGAATCTCTAAAAGACTCACTAACGAAAAAGAACCACACAAAGCTGAAAAGGTCTTTCAAGAATGCACTGGCCGAGACCAACCATCAGGGAAAAAGGCGCACGACAACAAACTGGCGACCTGATATTGGTTACAACTCTCAGATATGTCATGCACTCTCTCTTCGTACGAGCTGCGCATACGTTAAATTCACCCTAGGTATTCATGAAAGAACTTCGTTACCTTCTTAGTGGATACCACATCGGTAACATCTCCACGTGCACTTTTTACTGCTTCCCAAGTCTTTAAGCGTTTTAGTTGAGGCTCGTTACTATCCTTCATCGATGTTTCCTGTATCTAACAAGCAAGTATGTCTCATTAAAATGAACGATTCGGCAACTGGATTTTCAATTGCTTCTTCACCAATTTAAATGAAGAAAACATAAAGCTTTGGGTGAGATCCACTATGAAGCATAAAAAGAACATGATACGGCAAGCTTCGCCATCGAGGAAAGAACTTTTTAAGAAGTAAGCCTGATAACTGGTTAGCCGTCCTCATGTAAACTGAGCAGTGTCAACACCGTTACAAAAATGAAAGTCACGTTGAAGGTGATGCAAAAGCAATGTAAGAAACACTAAAAAAAGAGAAAAAATTCTACCTTCGATGTTGGTTGCAGGAAATTTAACGCACTTTCTTCCGTAGGATTAACAGGAGCATGCATTGGTATTTGTTGATTCATGTCTGTGTTGGCCACATTTTTTGCATCCGTTGTGTCCTGCAGCGAAAATGAAAATGCCTTGAAACAAATCACTGACAACTTTAATGTGTTACACTGTGCCATATTTTCTCACCAGTAACAAACCATCATTCTTGACCCATATTCAACCCATAAAATCAGAATCTCAAAGGTGAGAATATCTCCTGGATTTAGTTAATTCTTGTTTCAACCAAAAAAAATCCAACATTTCGATTATTGACAAGATCCAAGTCGTTTTAGAGCATCTGGTCTTGATTCTGTGTAGTATTTTACTTTGCAAATAAGGAAAAATCTAGAAAAAAAAAAGGAGAAACCTCGTATAGATACTTAGAACATGGCGGTTTATTTCTAGACTTCATCTAGGGCATGACACAAGTGAGATGCACCTTGATGGATTGGGTCTCTTGATGAGACTGTAGGGTTTCTGAAGTCACAATTTCCGGTCTTTTAAGTTCGTACTGCCCTTGCAATTTAAGGACTGACTGCAACCATAGACGTCACACCTATCATAAAGTTCTGGTCCTTAGGAACCACGACTTGTTTCATGTCCCATCCAGTCTTAACTTATCATCCACTCGTCATAAAAACGACATACCTGTTCGCAGCATTGAGAATTATCCTTTAGATGTCTTGTTAACGAATCCGCTTTAGCATGAAGGTCGGTCTCACACTGGATCGTTATGTTCGTCATGCTCCTCTCATCTGTGTCCGCTTTACGACAAAGCTATAGCCAACAACACACAGGATTAGCTGCATACTGTATAAAGTTGAAGCTAACTTTACGAAAGGTATTTATCTGTTTATCTCAATCCTTTTCACCTGCTCATTCTTCTTCTGTAGATTCATCATCTCATTTTGCAGATTAACTTTCTCTTGTAGAGTGTCTTCAATGAGCTTTGTATATGCTGATAACGAAGCAACCTTCGCATATTTGAGATGCCCTCCCAGAGACTTAAGGTTCTGCAAGTATTAATAGTGAGAATCCATCTTATTTGCTCTTAACCCTAATCGCCGCCACTACTAAGCCTGTAGTTTAGGAGCAAGCTTGGGATCTAATCAAGGTACCAACACTATTATATTGCTGCTCTCAAATTGAGACATTAATTTGGAAATCTTAGAATCATGCCTCCAAAAGTGGATATTGGTGATGGCTTACGGGCAGTTCGTGTCTTCGAAAAGAAATTATCAAGTCCTCTAGCGGATTATTTTCCACGTTATTCTCTTCACTTCTTTCTGGAGCACAGCCTTCCAAAATACCACTTGAATACCAGCTCTTGAATTCAGAAAAGTCCTGCACAAAGAGAATCCGACATGAGTTCTCCGGTGCACTAGCCTAAGAAAATGAGCCAAAATCACCCCACCAGTCCAAAGTAAGCCTGAACAGTATAGGCAGGTATAGGAGCTGAGGGTAATTGTGGTCACCTTGAAAATATGGTGTGCATGGTCAATCAAACTTTGACAAAATCCAGCCTCCTCGTCAGAGTGACAGCTATTGTTCTCCTTCGTTTCAGCTACCATTTGCGTCAACTTGACATCTAAAGTACCATACTGCAGTCTCACATTCTATTAGGCAACATTCAAAAGCGTATTTGAATACGCAAACAACCTGCTTTCCTGGTGTTACTAAGACAATGTCCAGACTGTACCTCGGGGCTCTGTTCTTGGATCCTTATGACATGATTCAGATTCTGAACTTCAGCGGCATTTGTAGCCTTTTGGTGAGCCGTTTCTTCAACATGTAATAAGAGAGTTTCATTGGCTTCAACCGCTTCCTGCCTCAACTTCGCAACAAGCAAAGCATTCTGCAGCTTCACGACATTCTTTTTAGAGCACTCATTGGCTTAAGTTAGAGTTACTGAAAGAAAAAAGGAACATGAAAGAAAAAAACATGATTCCTGTGGTGTTATAGACTATTCATGTGGACTGTACCTCATCATTCTGTTCTTTGAGGGTCATTATCATGCTATTCAAGTTCTGAACTTCAACAGCCTTCTCGGCCATGCTGTGAACCATCTCCTCAACTTGCTTTTGAAGAGCATCATTTGCCTCTTCCATTCCTTTTCTCAAGTTGGCAATCTTTGCAGAACTCTGCAACGTCACCGTCATTCAATTTGGTTACAGAGCTGTGCAATGGGTTGGCATCTACAATCCGGCTCAGTATCGTTCCATAGACATAATTTGATCTGTACCTCATCGTTTTGTTCCTTGAGTGCCCTCATCACTTCACGCATTTTCTGAAATTCTGCAGTATCCCTACTTTTCTGCTCGGTCGCTTCCTCTCTCTGTTTCTTGAGAGCATCAGTGGCTTTACTCAGCTCTTGCTTCAAATTGGTCACTAGCGCAGCACCCTGCAGTTCCGCAACATGCTTTTAAAGCACACGCAATCATATAATAGCCAAACTTCATAAAATTTATTCTCAGGTCGTCTGAAGATATCTCGCTGGCTTTACCTCCTCATTCGTTTCCGTGAGAGTCCTTATGATTTCATTCAGATTTTCAACTTCAATGGCATCCCCCCTCTTCTGCTGAGCCATCTTCTCAACCTGCTCGTTGAGAGCGTCATTGACTGCAGCTACTTCTTTCTTCAAATTGATCACTAGGGCAGCACCCTGCAACCCCATAGCATCCCTTCAGAGGACATATTGGTGTAAATCTGACTGAAACAAAAAGTTCGATTTCACACTTGTCTATAGACATCGTGCGAGGTGTACCTCCTCATTCGTTTCTCGAAGGACTCTAATCACTTCAATCAGCTTTTTGACTTCAATGGCATCTCTAGCCTTCTGCTCAGCCATCTCCTGAACTTGTTTGTTGTGAGTACCCTTGGCTTCAGCAATCTCTTGCCTCAAATTGGCCACCAAGAAACTATTCTGCAGATTCACAACACCCTATGAGGACCTGTTTATGGTGCAAGTAAGCTTCCATTTTTCTAGCACACTAAACATACTTTTCTGATTATTTATTCATCGTTCACATTGTACCTCCGCATTCTTTTCAGTGAGGCTCTGTATCAAATCCTTCAAGTCCTTAACTTCAACTGCCTTCTCAGCCTCACGTTGAACCATCTTCTTAAACTGTTGATTTAAAGAATCCTTGGATTCAGTCACTTCCTGTCTTAGGTTGGCAATTAGCACAGCACTCTGCACATTCTAAACATCATGTCACCCCACGTTGAGGTTTGTTTATGACTATCACAAAGAACATAGCGGTGTAAATGACATAATTATACTTGAGAAATTTTGCAACGAAACCTCATTATTCTGTTCTTGAAGATTTCTATTTTGTTCATTTAGATTCTGAACTTCAACAGCATACTCCTTCTTTAGACTAGTAGTTTCCAGAATCTGTTTATTGAAAGCATCCTCAGCTTCGGTCACCTCTCGCTTAAGGCTGGCAACCAGTGCAGCGCCCTGCAGCTCCACGAGATCACATTAGAGCATTTGTAGGAGACCATGTGAATGTCACATTAACATCTTTGTAGCTGCTGTGCCTGGAAAATCGCGAAGCGAATACCTCAGTGTTCTGCTCATGGAGGGTCCTTATCGTGTCACTCATTTTCTGAACTTCAACAGCTTCTTCGGCCCTTTGACGAGCTGATTCTTCGCTTTGCTTGTTGAGAGCATCCTTGGAGTTAGCCAGCTCTTGCCTCATGTTTGCCACCAGTGCGGAACTCTGCAGCATATCATCCAATTCAGGCATAGAGTTTCTTGTCGATAAAACACGGTTATCGTAAGTACTTGGTCGGCGTGTGACATTATCCAGACTGTACCTCATCATTCTGTTCTCTCAAGATGTTCATGGCGTCAGTCAGCTTCTGTATTTCAGCAGCATCTTCGGTCTTGCGCTGGACCGCCTCCTCGACCTGAATGTTGAAAGCATCCTTTGCTTCGGCCACTTCTTGTCTCAGGCTGGCAACCAGTGCAGCGCCCTGCAGCTCCACGAGATCACATTAGGGCATTTGTAGGAGACCATGTGAATGTCATATCAACATCATTGTAGCTGCTGTGCCTGGGAAGTCGCGAAGCGAATACCTCAGTGTTCTGCTCATGGAGGGTCCTTATCGTGTCACTCATTTTCTGAACTTCAACAGCTTCTTCGGCCCTTTGACGAGCCGATTCTTCGCTCTGTTTGTTAAGAGCATCCTTGGCGTCAGCCAGCTCTTGCCTCATGTTTGCCACCAGCTTGGAATTCTGCAACTTCAGCATAATCGTGTTAAAGGACATTTTGTGGTCTGCATTTTAGCATCAATTGCAACCAACTTTTGTGGGATTCTTAAGAAGTCCTGCGTTCTGTACCTCGTCGTTATGCTCTTTAAGGATCGTTATCATATGATTCAGAGTCTGAATTTTAAGAGAAGATTCCGCGGCTTTTCGGTGAGTAGCTATAAGCATTGCCTGGAGAGCGTGAAACTTATCCTCAGGAATATCTCGACGACTTACGAAACAATGCTCCAGATATTTTGCAATGATCACATGCTCCTGCACTTGAAACTGAAGTCTCATCCTAATTGCCTGTAATTCGATAGCTCGAAAACTTAGCTTCTCGATGGTGTTCAAAATTCGTTCAGAACCCAATCGTTCTTGTTGGAAGTATTCCTGGTCTGCAGCCTCTGTTTTTGCGAGAAGACTTTCTTGAACTTGAAGGAGCATAGCTTCATTACGGTGAGAGGCTTCCTTCGCCGCAATTAATTCGCCCTCTATCATTTCTGTTTCACGAAGATCACGATTACTTGCTAATGAGTGACTATTTCAATGATCACGTTGTAAACTTCGAACCACTCACACGTGCGTTGGTTCAAAAGTCATTACGAGATGCCGCCACCTTTGAATTTTGCTATGTCTGCGGCTTCATTGACTGCATTCGCCAAAAACTGCTCTAAATCCCTCAGCTCCTCTCCCAGATTTCCGTGATTTAAGGCACCTGAGTTTTGAAGGCAAAGAGTTCAGTCCGTGAAATCAATCAACTGGACGAAGGTAGAGCATCGAAAGAGATTTTCGCAGCTTTTGGAATATTAAGGTCTGCATAATACATATTATCATGAAGAAGTGAAGTCCGGGCAAGTGAGACAGCTTACATAAAGGTCGCTCATCTTCGGTGTAATCAATATTTGTGGAAAAGTCGCTGATCTGAAGCGTTGATTTCGAGAGGAATATCAATTGCTCAGATATGGTTCCTTCCAGGAGTCTCTTGCTCCGCTCCGCTGTTTGAGAGCCACTCTCATCATTAGACAATTTACTATCAAGAGCCTATAACTTCATATTCTCAAAAAGATCACCTACAATCAGGCAAATGAGAGCAAAACGTGAGAAATTTTGAAATGTATATTCTGTGCGAGTGAATTAGAATTTCTACAATACTACATGGATTCAAGAAGCCCAAACCTTCTAGGGACTGCTTCTCAATCAGCTCAACAGTGTTGGCGAGATGATCAGAGAATGCCTTGATCATCACGAATTTGGTGGTAAGACCTGACCAAAGGTTGAGTCTCTCTTTCGTTTTCTCTTTGAAACATAATAATTCACGGTCCACTTTCTTGCGCATCAGACCCAGCGCCTCGACGTATTCCTCAGATGTTTGATGCTTCATGATTCTGCTTCCAGAAGATTCATTTACAAGCAGTCAAGCTTGTATAGCAGTTGCAACGACAGTAGCAAGACATTTAACACGGTAAAACTTACAGATGAATGTAGCATGTGCTATTTCAGTGTTTTGAGCATAGCATTTTTTTGCCGTAAAATTCTATCTCTCTCGCGCAAGCTTATCTATTCGGATGGCATTCCGTGTCCTTCCTGATGTTGCGACGGCAGGGAGAAACTTCGATTCTACGTTTGTATTTAATGATTCGCCCACTCTTCACGTCGCAATTGTCTTAGTTGAAATCCTTTCTGTACATATGACCTGCTGCATCTTAAATCAGTAGAATGAGCCGACGAACTGAGATTTTTACTTCTCTGTTAATTAATTACTTGAGAAACCACAAAATCCATAGATTCGAATCTAAGCAAGTAAATAATCAATACTACCAGACGAATTCCGAAGAGAGAGTCGCTGGCACTAGTGATACCATTATTCACAACCTGATAGCATCAACTTCCGAGGCACCGAAGGAACTGGTTCACTATCTTCATGGAGACTCCCTGCTTTCAGAACTGATGACATAGACAGGCAAACCTGATAAAGGAATGAGACTATGTTCGAAGAAATTCCACCAGACTTGATTTCCTAAAGCACATCTCGTTGCAGCTTCAGCATTCTTTTGAACTTTTTTTCATCTGATATGATGTATTTTTCTTGCAAATTCGATCACAATTCCCCCATAGTTCCTGAACGTTCAGAAGACTGATCAAATTTTTGAAACATCCAGTGCAAAACTTATTCCAGTGCGTCTACTATTCAAAATTAAGATGAACATTTCACGAATCCAAGGATATCTACATAAACAACAATCAGAATTTCCACTAGCTCCTGCTGCGACAGCCTCCCTGCGGCAAGAAGAGAAAGAAAAAAAAAACTCACAATATATTTGTTTCAGAGTGAATATCGAGACATCAAGGTTTAATGCTAACCATTGCACAAGAGGCCTCAAAGAAGAAGAGACTCATGATTTGGATGAAGAATATTGATCGACATATCATTCATCCAATTGTGCTGACCAAAGTTCCACCTCTCGAAGATCTTGGGCTTTAGTTTCAATCACTTCTTGACTGATGCCACTGTTTCTAAGAAGCAAACTGCATTGCGTCCTCCACAATCAGAGACTTTTTTGTTTGAATTAAGGGAGCTTGTTCAGTCGAATTTTTATTTCTTTTCAGATGTTGAAGGGATTGGGACACTATGTGGCTCATCGTGCTTTACGGCGGTTAAGTGCATTTAATTGAGGTTTTGCTCGTAATTTGTGATAAAATTGAAGTGAGGTCGGCCATGCTCCTTCGACGTGCACATCAATGGGCTCCCATTGCGGTCGAAGGGAGTTCTTTCGGTGTGCTACGGGTTGCAGACAGATCTCCGCTGCCACTGGTTCCTTTGCTCAGAAGAGGGGAGGATTGAGCGACGAAAACAAGGATGGCGAAGCTGACCCTGATGGAAAGCCTATTAGAGGAAAGCGGGAGATCATCAGCGATGATGAGGTATTAGCGAACCTTCTGCAGTTAATCAATATCCTTTAATGAGGCGTAGATGACTGCGGAGTTCTTCTGTGCTGGTTGATTTCTGCACTTATTTCTGTCGAGGAGTTCATTATTTTTGAAGACTCACTAACCTCATAATATAGTCCTGAATAATTTGTGTTGCGTTAACTTTTGCGGTATCGATTGTTTGAAGCTGGTGAACAACTTTAATTTTTTGTACATTTGCCTTCAATTTAGTGTAGCTTTCCATTGCCATTCTCGTTTCCGCGTAATTTTAAGTTCTTCAGAGTTCAGGATGTCGTAGTTGTGGATGAGAGCACAATTTGTTTGGATCTACGGGAGACTTTAGCCCAAATCTTGGATAGATAGAAAGGACTTTATTGCAATCAAATCTCCATAAGTGGGGGGCATTGTTTGTATCTCATTGTGGCAAAGGAATGTCTGCTGTGCATTGTCTATGCCTATGGATTGCAATCATGACTTTAGAGTGATATCTCCCAAAATTGATCATCACATAATTAAAACTATTTATAGTATTCATCAATTTTAAGGTTATATAATATGCACTCTTGATGTCATTTTAAAAAAAAAAAAAAAAATCATAGATAACTTATTGGTCCTTTACAGCTAATTCTTCACGCTTCTCTATGCAGATTGCTCAAACACCCTTCATATACAACTTTTCTGGTGTAGAACCCGACTACAAAGCTTGTCGCTTGTCAGAACCTGTGAAAGAAAGAATCTGGAGATCTTACCGTGACAATCCGGAGCCTGTGACGATTGACAGACTAGCGAAAGAGTATCGGATACGCAAGCAGCGCGTGCATGCAATTGTATGGCTTGTAGACATTGAAAAGCAGGAGGAAGCAACTCAAGGGAGTCCCTTGGACAAAGATATTGAAGAATACTTTGAGAGAATAGATGGGTTAGTTTTCTCGGCTCATCTGTAAGAATTGTTTCGGAATTTCAGAGATTTTGCTGGTGTGGACATAGACTGTTGACAACTGTATCACTTTGGTATGTGGTGTGCTCTTCAGGGTATCCTTTCCGGTTCCCAATTTTTTTGTTTGCATACTTTTATTTCTGAGGATGGAAGTTGAAGCACGAGTTTTATTTTATTCTTAATCCATCAATCTGAAGTCTGATGTCAGCATATGTTGAACTGATCCAATGCGGGATGATATTTGGAACAGTACTTTTGAGGCTGCTGATGGTGAGCGCCACGTTAAAATTAGACGCACTTGTCCTGTGGTGAAGAATTTGGCTGCAGAAGATGACGAGGGGCCGGATTGGGACGAGCTATCGGCAAAAGAAGTTGAGATGATGCTCTATGAGTTTGAGAGACGAATGTCTTTTAACAAAAAGCAGGTCAGATGTCAACTGAATACATGCTTGATGTTCCTTTTCTTGGGCTGACTTCTTATCACTCAAAAGAATGATCCTCTGCACTCAACTTGTTATGAAGAGTGTCAGGGATTTCCTCAAGGATGTGCATATGTGCTTGCAATTTCTTTCTTGTTTTGTTTTTTTAATTTTTTAATTCATAATTTCTTTCTTTCTTTTCTTGTTTTCATGTTCACATTTTGCTCTCATTGCATGCCGAGTCTCATTTATAACAAATAGTGGAATTTCTTGCATGGCTTCTTTAGAACTAAGCTTTCTTTACTTAATATGGGATCCCCTGTCTTATCACGAATTTTCATCTGGCTCAGATTGCTGGCATGATAAATACGGACATTATTAGCAGAAGAAGACCCTCTGTTGGATGGAGTTATCTTGTGGAAGAGTTGGGTGAACAGGGCAAAAGGGGGAAAAGGGGTGGTAAGCGATTTGTTTCGGAACCTGATGGAACTCGAAGAGGACTAAACGAACTCGAGAAAGAATTTCTGAAGAGGGAGAGCTTGATACCTAGAAGAAAGATGACAGCAAGATAATCTGCTTCACTTCACACGGTACATCTACATTAAAGTAGAATATTGTGACATCTTTTAATGCATTCTTAATAGACAACTTAGCAATTCATGAGGGAAGAACTTGTCACCGGCTCTTTACCATTCACGTTCTGGTTCTAGTATGGGATTTTTAAACGAAGGTTTGCATGTCCTTCCAGACCATCACATCAATAGGTATAGCGTGTTAGTATTAAATTTATGGTCATTGAGTTGTTGAACTACATACTAGTTATTACAAGCCTAGACTCATGGCTCATCCAAGTTGAGAAGTAGTGATATTCCGTTGGAGATTTCACAGTCGCTTTCAAACGATTGTTGAAGCGAACATGAAAGTAAAACCCATTAGTGTTTAGAGTCAACTACTTATCTGGAACTCTTCAATAAAAAGTTCCTTCTCAAATACTTGTCAGGTCGTGTGATCGTGTGGACGTATGGATTCAATATTAATTCAGTTGGTGGAAATTTTCAGAAGATGAACAATGTGGGGTTGCACATCTCCACTATCCATTCTAAACTGCGTGGTTTTGACGTCGTGTTGATGGTGTGAAACACACTTAGTGGTTGCTTTTGTCAGTATCTTAGTTGAACTTAAATCAGGGCAATTTTGCCAGTGGGCTTGGAATCAATCTTTATAAAACATGGCATAAAATGCCTCAAAACATAAATATTAACAAACCAATTTTGATCATAAACCAACTTCCAGTTAAAAGACACTTCAGAATGAAAGATTTCAAAGATTTTCAAATTTTCAATTTTTTTTAGTTTTGAATAAGTTCTCAAAAAATATGTTTTTTAAAAATTCAAGGGCAGAATGGCACACTTCAAATTTTATTATTTATTACAGATATGTCCAAAATAATTGTGACATTTTAGGTTTTCTTAAAAATTAAAACGTCCAAGATAATGTTTTGTTAATTAATTAACATGTTTGATGTTTGTTCATTATTCAATCATACATACTACAACCATAATACAAATCTGATTTTTTAGATTTAACAAAACAAGGGAAAAAATTTATCCTCATGGGAACTTTCAAAATGTCATTTTTGAGTTAATGAGTGTAGGAACTTAAAAAAAAAATTTAGACAATAGGTGTAGAAATTTTTTATTGTTAAAATTTTACAATGTCTTAAAATAAAAACCAACCATTGTCAATTGGTTTTTAGAATATACAATTTATTTTGATAAAATTCAGAATATTCTTGATAATACAGTGGTATTTCATTTACGTAATATACCATAATGAGCCAATATACACAAATGAATATTCAGTACAGAATAAATAATTATGAACAGTATATATATATATATATATATATATATACAGAAATAACAATATACTCAAATGTTAGCTGTTGAGTTCCAGGGGACAATGAATATCTGCAAAATGATATATATATATATATATATATAAATATATACATAGATGTGCATATTTCCATGTGTTTTACTAACTGCATTGATATATGCAAATCATTGTTACATGTAATAAAAAATGTTGGATCTATCCTTGATACGTCTCAAATTAGTTATCCAAATTTTTAATACTGAAAAAAAAAATCCATCATTACCATATTCCTAAAATAAATAAGTACATGTATATGTGTATATATATGTATAGAGTAATAATAGTGGCACATCTTTTGAAGTCAAAACTTGTAATTAATATTAAAAAATAACAGTTACATAATACTTAAAAATCAATATTTCAAAAAAAAAATATCCAAGAATTATGACACAGCTGTTTATTATTTTTATAAAAAAAACATGCTAACTAGGTTGTAAAATGGTGAACTTCTAAGCCTTGAAAGATCTCTAATCTATGAAAAAAAAGAAAAAAAAGAAAAAAAAAGTGCTAAGTTTCTTTACAAATAAAAATAAAAATATAGAAAAAATAGATTCTAGATTATCTAGGTTCAACAACAAGCACAAGAAAGTAATCGAGGTTGGTTTCTACCATACTACACCAGAGTTGGACCAGGGCAACTTTCACTTTTTGAGACGGCGCATGTACGAGTTCGGCTTTGCATGTTGGTTTGTTTGTTAGCTAGTTTGTAGGTTTGTTGCATCGAGGCCCCGCGAGCGCCATGCGGTGGATCCACCGAGCTCCGAGGTCCGCACCCCATTTAGGATACCGATTTTGCCAGGTCAACCAGACCTCGTATTCATCTGCTGCTGGAACCTCGGAGCTAAGAAATGAATGTAGTGCTTCCATTTTCGGACCACTCTCGTTGGATACTAATCATGAAAAGTCCTGCTCTAGATCGGCCGTGAGTTCAGGCACGGCGGTGGTGGTGGAAATCCCCTAACTCAGATGCACGGAAGCATTTACGATTTGCAACGTGTTCACAGCACTCAAAAGGAAACGCTGCCTGATCGCACGTTGAATGGAATAGAATGGACAGGTGAGATAGTGAGAGTAGGACAGGCGCGTGGCAATCCAGGGAGTAGCGCAAAAGGAGATATGAGCGATCGCTGCGTTTCCCCACAGTGCATTGCTTCTCCACTTGCCAGGATTTTTCGGCAGGCTACGGCGATGATCGTGGCTATGAAACCTTGTCCCGCTCTGAGTCAACACCAGGGTGGCTGTACATTGCCTCTTCTCGTGGTGGATGATGGCATTGAGCGACTTTTTTCTGTAAAATTCAGGGTCTTGTTTCGGTTTTGCACTGGTAGTTTGGCAGTGACGCCCGAGTTTTTGCGTCTGTTATTTTCCTCCTTGAACTCGGTTTTTGGTTTGAGCGGGTAGGTCGTCAGGGGCTGCAGTGTTGATTTGAAATGATAGTTTTGGCTTTTGGGATCATTTTAGGCTTCTGGACGAAGCGGCAAAGGATTTTGTTAGTTGGAGGGTTTTGGACGTTGAAAGTGCTGTAGGACGTTATCGCGGCATTTGCTGATGTAGATTAGGTTGGCTGAGGATGAAATGATGAGAGGCCAAATGGGCTCATCCTTCGAGAGCTGGCTTAAAGATGGAGGCAATCAATTGCGCTTCAGGTGATTGTGATTGTAGGTTAGGATTTGCGAACGTGATCGTCAGGGGTCGTTGTTATGCTGAAGCTTTTCGCATTGTCGAAAAATCACAATTTCAGAGCCGGACTTTTGTGTTGTTCATAGACTGGCTTGTTTGTGAATCCCTAGAGTGGAGTTGATTGTGTGAAAGGAGGTAGCATAGACCAGATGATGAGTGGAGGGTGTGAACTGAGTTTTTCCTGCAAATGTGGTAACACTGTCTGCTGGTTTACGGAGGATGTGCCTGTCAGAGGTAGCGTGAACTTTTATAAAAAAAAGTATATATCTGCTCACAGGTCACCCTAGCATTTGGCAACAATAGTGGCAACGATTTCCAAATCAACAACTTAGGATAGTTTATTCCTTAGTTTGAAGTTGTTAGGGAATTAGTGATAAGCAAGGCAGTCATTCGGGTGCGTCCCTAATGCGGCTCACAGCTCTGGTGAAGGTCTGCAGACGCACAAGTGCACTATAGCACGCCATAGACCGAGGATCTCGAAGACCCTAATGTCCAATTTGAACTATGACATGGACGGCGATAGATGAAAGAGACTCTCACTCCCGCGACAAACCGAGCACAGTTGCCCATGTCAGGGATGATAATGTTGAAAGACACAACAATCTTTCAATTTTAAGCATTGTAATTTGCACACTAGGTTTATTTATTTTGGAGCAGAAGACAAAGAAGACAAAGAGGTAAGAAAATCTTTTGTCAGAGGTACGGGGCGGAGTCATGCCTTTGTTCAAATCTAGGGCGCGGCCGCGGTTGACGCGTTTGTCAACCTCATCTTCATTGTTTAGAAGAAAAGAACGTCAAATTTACATCTACCTTTTTGCGGCGGCTATTTTGCTCATAGCATCAGTTTCCATTCTGCAACTCAGTCTTGGCAGAACCTCCGCTCACGCAGCACGTGGTAACTTTCTAAACGCCTGCTTGAAGCTTGTCAAGTTAATTGCGTTGCTTGTTGAACCAACGTTTCAAAAACTTCGGCTGCTTCCTCCTACTTCGTCTAGCACAAACGTCTGTCTTTGCTTAGCACTACATGCTCATGTTACACAGAGAAACTTTCTTAGGAAAACAGTTTGCTTAGTGTCAGGTGTATGAGAGGAATGTATGTCTTTTGTCAGCAGCGAGCTTTCAGACGCATCAACGAGCTCAAGATTGGACTCTCGTAAGAGAGGAACGGATGTTTTCGTTCATCAATTAATGCTGCCCCTCATGTCAACTTAAATTTAGTACTGTAATCGTCACTAAGGGAGGCCTTCAGTTTTCACTCTATTAAAGGCTCATTTGACAATCTCACCCCTCGGAAATCCACTACATTGCTCTAAGATGATGATGCTTCATAGCTGCAGATGCTAAGCATTACAGGAGACGAGCAAATGGAAGGGAGGACTTGCAAGTCAACCGCGATATGGGTGAATTTGGTACTGCAGTCGACCAAGAGAAACAAGGAGGGACTGAAAAGGCTCGTCGAAAACACGGGGCTGAGTTGTTTGATTCGAGAAATCTTCCGAAGAACCTGAAGATACGAAGTGCAGGTGAGGCGGAAGTAGGAAATAGATTAATTGAGGAAGAAGAGGAAGATGGATATAAGGGAAAGGAGACTCAAGTTCTTGCAGAATTCGATGAAAGGGAATCGTATTTGAACGACGGAGAAATAGATGAGGATCTCAACGAGGAAAGACGAGAAAGTGGAACGTACCAAGGGCAGCAACTGGAGGATATGGATAGATTTGATGATTACAAAGTGACGGAGGACAGTTTTAATCATCAAGGACAGCTATTAGAAGATATGGACAAGTTTGAAAACCGGCTGTTGTCACAGTATAGTTACCAACATCGAGGGCAGCTATTGGAGGATATGGACAAATTTGACAATCGTCAAGTGACACAAGATAGTTACAAACATCAAGGGCAGCTGTTGGAAGATATTGACAAATTCGACAATCGTCAAGTGACACAGGATAGTGACAAACAGCAAGGGCAGCTGTTGGAAGATATGGACAAATTTGACATCCATCCAGATACGAAAGGTACTGTCAAGCTCCCGTTTTTAGATGCCGCAGAGCGTCAATACATACAGGATTTGGGTGAATCACGAGGCATTGAACGAAATAGGAAGTACCAGACAGTTGGTAGAAACCGAACTGGAAAGCGGATGAAGGAAATACCTTTGGTAAGCAAAAACAACACCCGTCCCTATTCACAAGAAGGGCAAAAAGAGTCACGTAAGCTGGGTCACAGGAGAAATTACGGAAGGGATATGCCGAACATAGAAAGAGAAGTCAAAGAACTGGATAATCTTGACATGATTAATCGTTCGGTTGCTGATAAGTTGGACACAGAGGACAAAAATCAGTTGGCCAATACAATCAAACGGGTTCCTGAAGATGCGCAGGGATCGATGTGGGCTGCTGTAAAACAAGAAATGGAAAAGAGAAAGGCCCTTCTTGGAGAGAATCATGTGGGAAATTTCAAGCAGGAAGCAGGAAATCCTGCTAAAGTCGGCTTTAGGGAATCTAATCCTAGCCTTGCTTCATCGCATTTGAAGAGTGTTAAGGAGATACAGTATCTGGAACAAAAAATTGAACCAGGAGCGCCTCTTCCTCTTGGAGGATTTAAAGAGTTTCCCAAAATTAAGAATGCCAGTCACGAAAATGATGACGAACTTTTGGGCAAAAACGTGCTTGAGAAGGGCGTAAAGGGTGAGGGTGGGGTGTTAGTTGATGGAGGCAGATCGCTAGCAAGGAGATTTGGAATATCTCCTTGGGATATGCAGAGGTTGAGAGAGACTGGTAACGTTAATCCCTCAAACCTACTAAATGGCAATAAAGATAACAAAGACACGGATCAATCATCTATGCCAGCGCTAGGAACAGATGAAGACCATAATCAAGATTCTATTGAGTCGAATGCGCTTGCTTTTGAGAAAAGAACACCTGACGCTAAGGGATTCGACCAGGATAAAAACCTCAAGGTATCCGTGGCACAGGTGCACGCGGAGATCATGGATGTGCAGTCTGGTAAGCGGCAGATCAACCAAGACCAGTTACACAATGGTGAAGACCGCAGTAGTGAAGATGGGGAAGAATTGGAATCAAATATAACTAACAAAGACGTTTCAGCCGTGGAAGAGAATGATGGTGGCGACGATGATGATGAAGTGATCCAGTGGGGATTTTACCCATCCTTAAGCCGATCACTCAAATTCTCAAGGTTCTTGTCTGCATTCTTCGAAAAGGAGAACTGTTCCTTCAGAGTCTTTATGGCGTGGACCACTGCCCCATGGGCTTACACTCCTCGCCACCAGCGTGCTATCGAGAGTATACTCCATTTTCACCCTCATGCATGCATCGTGGTGTTCACTGAAACCATCGACTTTCAGTTTTTTGATAGTTGGGCAAAGGAGGGGTATGCACTTTATACCTTCTGGCCACACTTCTCAATTTCATCGAACCTACACATTACTTCCATGGCGAGGAGATAAAAAAGAACTGAATATTAAATTTTTACATCATAGAAGTTTTGTCAATTCTATACTTGAATTCTATCGGTATGTGCATACTGTCCTATTTTAGAGTAACCACGGCTTAGTGATGTGCGTTTGTCTCATGCTGAAGATCTTGTCATTGCCGTTGATTAAGTCTGTACTCTATGCAAGCATGTCTCCTCTTAGTTAGAAACTTTTAAAAAAATTAGCTTGTCTGAGCTAATTGTGTGAAGTTTGTGCAGGTATAAGATTGCTGTGGCGAGACCGAATCTGGAAGAACTTCTTGGGAAGACCCCTGCTATTGATTTCGCATATGTATGGTATGAATGGCGAAACATGAACTTATTCTACATCCACTACACGGAGTTGTTGCGCATTGCAGCTCTTCACAAGTAATTCCTTTACTTATACTGAATTGCTTTAATTTGGTCATAATTTATTAGAAGCACCCAGCAGATTAGGATTGTCTCATTTATATGGTCTGCTGAGTCATATGATTCTGGGCTGCTAGCGTATGCAACTCAGCTAACAACTCAAGGGTTTTTGGAGGAAAACGTGATAACTTCACTGAGTACTGAGAGAATTTGTTACATGACCTGACCATTGCTTCTGGGTGAAGGTATGGAGGAGTATGGCTTGACATGGATATGATCTTGGCCAGACCCCTACCTACAATACACAACGTTCTCGGTTCAACAGTTTCTGAGAGTGGCGAGTGGGTTTTGAATGGGGCATTCATGTCCTTTGATAAATCAAGGTGAGTGTTGATATGGTGCATTTTTAAATTACTTATGGTTCCTTGGAGATGATAGTGTCATCATCTTTTAAATGACAGGTAATGCTTTCCTGTATGAAGCACTTCGAACTACCAATCAGTAAGCTCAGTGCATGTTGCCTCTGTTGTATGATCCTGTTCTGGATAGAAGGTCTCAAATGTGCTACACCAACTGTGTCATTTCTCTAATATGATAGTCTTGTTAACCTTCTTTTCATAACTGTGACGACGAACGGATGGCTCTATATTTTGCAGCTCCTTTTTGAAGGCATGTATTGAGGAATTTGTTGCAACGTACGATGAGACATCACTAGGATGGAATGGAGCTGATTTGTTGAATCGTGTAGCTTCAAATGCTACTAGGAGGGGTGGGAAAACATGGCTAGAGTCCAAGCATCTACAAGTCTTAGAACCAGTTGCATTTTTCCCACTTAGCCGACACGATATTATAAGGTATTCTTCCGTTCTGCCTGTTTTTGTGTGGGAAAAGAAAGAGCATGCTCACATTATATCAATTATGTCGTGCATTTGTTTTTACGAGCATGGATGTCTTAACACTTGATCACACTAGGACATCAGCTATCTCAAGAGGCCTTGCACTTACTAACCTTAGTTGTCGGATGCTAGTGCACCATTTAACAACCCTTGGGTCTTGTTTTCAATAATTACAAGTTTTTAATTTAATTTTCTTTGTTATCCTTTGCTAGTCTTCTCATCAGACTAGCGAAAATTTGCTACTCATTTGTTACGAAACGATCTCGTCGAATGTAGGTACTTCGCAGCACCAAAAAGTCATCAAGATAAAGTTGAGCAGAAACAGATGCTCACAGCTATACTGAAGAAATCCCATGGAACACATCTTTGGAACTCGGTGACTGGACGGCATGTCCCCGAACCTGGGAGCCTTGTGGAAAAACTTCTAAACAGATTTTGCTTGCGATGTACAGATATACTTTAACAACTGGAATGCATCACGACGCTAAAATGTAGTATCCTCCAATTTTAGCTGGCGGGTGGCCGAAGTATTGTACCATAGTGTTCCACAGAACCCATTTTTTCTCCTGTTCTCAAATCCCTTGCGTTCTTTCCCACTTCATCTCTATATCTTTGGGGAAGGCTCCAGACGAACCTAACCTGATTGGAGGTCTTCGTGTGGTTGAGGCTTGGAAGTGGGGTTTATGCATTTGTAGACCAAATTAAGAAATTTGTGACATGTTTCGAGTTTATTCCTGAACGACGAGCTTCTTCACAATACGTTGCAGAAGTGATTTTGGCCTCAGTTCCGGTGTCTGGTATGCCCTTAATGCTAGTTTAATTCTTGAATTTCTTTATTACCTGTTTTAGAGGTTTCTAATCAAATTTGAATGCATAGAAAATAATATTTAATACATGCCTTCTTAAACATAGAACTTTGTACATTCATGCTTACTTTATACCAAGAAGTTAAGGCCAACCATAAATTAAATACATGCTGAAATAATCATCTTTTTTTGAATAAGTTTATTTATTTTCGGCTTATTGAATAAGTATAAGAATAACTAATAAAAAGAAAAAAATGAATAAGATGATGTCATGTACTTATATATTTACCTAGACTAAAGAAGTTGGATAGAATTAAGTAGAAGTAAATAAATTTGATAATATCTTGTGGAAAAGATTTTTAGAAGCTTCATAGATAAAGATTTGACTTTCTACATGTTTGTAGGTAATTGATAGATTGAAAACTTGGCCAACAAGTTGGCTACATGTCGCACATATTGGTAACTTGTCTTGCCAGTTAGACATATGTCAAAGGTTCTATAAAATGTTGATATGTAGTTCTTACTTAGATAGTATATATAGAGGTAAGAGTGAGGTTTTTCTCACTCTTGCCAATGTTTTTCTTATTTTTGCTCTTGTTTCAAGAATCTCTAGTTTTCTTATCTTTGGCAATAGCCATTTTAGTTTTAATATTATGCCATCTTTAAGTAATTGTCTACTCTTTTCCAATGATACAAGAGTATTTTGACCTCTTGATTCTTTGTGATCCATATCCTTCACAATAGAGCTAGTTTTTACTAAGATTAGATTTATTTTTTTATTTATAACTTCTAAAATATATTTCTTTCTAATGATTTATTATAACTTTTTTTTAATATTTTTTATATATATCTTTTATTTTCTAGATATTTTTAGTAGAATATATAAATTTAGATTTATTTTGTTTTATTCTTTGTTACTTTTGTCTATTAAAATCTAATTAGATTTTTAAATTTTATTTATTATAAATAAAAAATTAATTTTTTCTAAAAAATTACTTATATTATTAAATAAAAATCTTAATATGTTATTATATATAATTCTAACTTAAATTTTTTTTATAACAATCTCTTTAGATTTTTTTGCTTAAATATCTGATTATATAATTATTAATATTTTATTATCAAAATTTTATCAACTAAAGTCACATGTATTTTTAATTATTTCTGAATTTGATTTTGTACCAATTTTTAAAAAATAATTATAATACAAAAAATTTATAATTCGATATATTTTTTAAAAAAATGTTACAAAAATATACTTTTCAACATAGAAGTATCATTTTTAATTAGTTATAAATAATAGCAATAAAATTAATTCAATTTTATATTTTTTTTACTTATTTAAACTAATTAATTATAAGTACGTACTTAAAAATTTATTAGTAATATTAATATTAAACTTATAAGGTGAAGCAAAGTTTTTTTTAATCACTTGAAAAATTAGATAAAGATGAATTGATTATCCATTAGAGGGTTGAAATAAAAACAAGAAAAATTCTATCTCTTCTTCTAAAGTCTTGTCTAAGATTCTAAAGTTGTAATTAAAATCATCTGTACTATTTTAAAGTAAAAGCCTTTGATTCCAAAATATTCATTTGCTATTCTTATATTAGTCCATATTGTGATTTACAACCACTCTCAATTATAAAAAATCACAACTTTCTATAAGGCTATTTTTTTTTAATTTTTTATAATTCTTAATTAATTTTATATTTTATTAATTATTTATTTTCAAAAATTTATTTCAAATTTGATTCCTGAATATTAAAATATTCATTAAAATTAAAATTTAAAAATACAATAATAGACTTTTTGGCTATTATCTTTCTTTGTATATAAAGATCTTAGGTTTTTATCTAAATCAACTCAATAAATTTTGATAAAGTAATTTAGTTGTTGTAAATGATTTTTATTTTTAATCAATACAAATAAATAATAAATTAAAATTTGTATCAATTTCTCACAAATTATTTTAAAATATCTTTTAAACCACACATACATATGTGCAAAAAAATATAAATTTAAATAAATTAATAAAATTTACATTTTTGTGATTTAAAAAAAATTACAAAAAAATAAATTCTTGTTATTTTTTCACCTTACTTTTGTTATTGCTTCATTCAAATACACTACTTAAAAATTGAAACAAATTCTTATATTTCAAATATTCTTACAACTATAATCCAGATATTTGGTATAAATCTAATATGGAAGATATTTGGTATAAAGAATATGTATACTTTCAAAAGTCTTACAATCTAAAGGAGCTTGGAACCTTGTAACTAACTTTCTACTTAATATGCTTGCACACACTTTGTATTATTTCACTAGCATTGCTTGGTTTGATTTCTTAGACAATTGCAATCCTAATTATTATAATTAATTCAAAATTGTCTTTCAAATTTTTAAGTATATCTAATCTTGACCTGAAAAAACTAAAAAAGTCTATTGCATGTATAATCACACATATTATAATAACTACTAAGACTCTCTATCAACAATTTTGTTACATCTATATGCAAACCACAACATACATCAAAATGTGTTCTATTTTATTTTCTTTTTAGTGTAGTCAATTTTAGAAGCATGAGAAAGAAAAAAAAGACGATGAAGAAGAAGAAAGGTATAGTTATCACAAACATTCTACTTTGATATTGATTTCTTACACAACTATATTTAATTAGATTTTAAACAAGCATGTCGCATTAAACATCTTGTCAATATTGGCCATAAACAAGATTTAATGCAAACTTTGAAGCCTTTGTTATAATTGCTTTAAAAAAAAGGCCAACAAATGTTTGTAGTGATTAAATCTTCTTACTTTCTATTTGATCCAAGAATTCATAAAGCTAGCATTCCTACATAAATTGCATGTTTTCAAAGAAAAATTTGAAATCTCTACTTGATATTTGAATATGTTGCTTTATTATTAAATAGGCTCTCTTAGCTTGAAATATATTCAAATTGCTAAGTGTAGAATATGTAAATAAATTTTGTGATAAGTTATTGGTTAGTTATTGATAACCTTGAAAATTAGACTTATAGTTAGGCAATTTAGTTGGTAACAGAAGATTATTAGTAGAACAAATGATTAAGAATTCAAAGGTTCATAACCTTTGGAATCTACTGGCCGACTATCCATCTTTTAGAAGGATAAAGAGGTTGAGAAAAGGAAGATCGGGGCCAGATTGTGATAGTCGTAAGCCGAGATAAGCTTGGTGCTACCTCTTTGTTTTCTTTGCTTTTATTATTTTCTTATAAAGAATTGTGATTGAGAGAAGTATTGTTGAAAGTGTGATTAAAATATTGTGGAATATGACTTTGGACTGACCGTTTTGGAGAAAATCTGTGACCTTGAGAATTGAGATTATCAAATTGTGTTGTGTTAAGTGAAGATATTGAATTTTGTGTGATGAATTGAGAAACTGAATATAATAAGTAAGTTGGAGATCAGTAATTGAATATATATAAACTGCAAAGAGAGTAAATGGGAGATGAACTGATAAAAATATCGAAGTATTGTTGAATTGATATTCATAGAATGGATTATGTGTTGAATTAAGACGGAATTAGTAAGCCTTGGTGTTTTTTAGTTTGATAATTGATTTCAGATAGCTAGAGTACAGTCAATTGTGACACTAACAGACCCAATTCATATAACTAGTGTTTCCCTGTGTTCAAACCCACCTCTATTAGTTCAATTGCTTTGGTATATTGAAGCTTGAACACAACGAGAACAATACTAAGGTATAAAAACTTGAGAGCCTAGAGTTGAGTAAATGTTTCTTAAAATAATAGCCATGTTGTTTCAATTAACTATAGCAATAAAACATGTGTAGCATATTTTGTCTTAAAAGATAATTAATTTGTAAAAAAATAGCAATAATAGTATTTACTAAGATATTCCATTATATCATAATTACCTTCCATTTTTCATCATCTTTGAACATACTATAATAATACATAAGTATAATTTTTTATTAATATGTTAGTTATCCAAAAATAATTTCAATTAAAAAAGATAAGGGCTAAAGTATTCATTAGTACCAACTTTGTGTCTATCAAAAAAATTATTAGATTCATTTGTAATATTTTATAGATATAATTATAGATCTCAAGATAGTTTTATTTGACTTCAAGTTTAAAAAATGTATACCAAATAAAAAGGTCTTCATAATGCAAATAATTCTTATAAGATTCAAAAGTAGAAGTTTGAATTCATTTATCTTATTCATCAAATCTATTATGAATAATAACAAAAATGACCCTAACACAAATATCATTCAATCACTAATCTTTATAAGTGTGCATTTAAGAATATTGTATTTTTTTAATCAAATATAAGAGATCAATATAGAAGGCTTTGTTTTGTTATATATCTAATGATATGTCAAAAATTAAGTTCAATTGTAAATTCTTATTAGATTACTTTCGATTGCTCAAATTTAATATTCTAAAAATATGGATCAATCTTAATTATGACTAGCTTGATAGAAAATCCAATGCAAAGAAAGCAAAGGCACCTAATACAATGGTGTTGGTAATAATGTAGTTTATGCTTGCATAATTGAAAATAAATAAGAATTTTTTTGGAAAATTGCTTTAAAATTGGAGTTACATGAATTACGCATACTATTTCAAAACGTCTAATAAATCATTATAGTATAAATTTGTTGCACAAGAATTTTAAAATTATAGTGCAATGTTGTTTTATAAGATTCTATCATAATATTGCATAATAAGATTATAATATTATATATATAACAAAGATGGAATTTTATAGCAAAACAAGTTGGACTATATTAACAAATAAGGTGGCTACAATATCAAAGATGATCAATTAATGCATAACATTGCAATCATTGACTTTGGATCTCTTTCTATGGTTTTTTAGCTTCATGTTATACTATTAAATCTAATGTTGTTTATTTTATACTATAATATAAGCTTAGAAGAAGAATATATATATATATATATATATATATATATATAAAGAATGTAGATTGAAGAAGAAAAAGAATGAATGCATGAATGAGTTGTGTGATTTATGTTAAAGTATTTGAATTGGTATAATAAAAAGAAGCCATACTTAAGCATTTATTATTTTATTATTTTATGCTAAGAATTAGACCTTTTGTATATACTTAACTATTGAAAAAGAGATTTTTGTGAAAGTGTGATTTTATACTCTCTTGTATGTGGTAACAATCACCTGTCCATTAATTCTCAATAAAATGAAATATTGTTCCTAGCACACTTCCTAGTCTTAATATTGTTCTTAGTCTTGAAACTTTAAAATTAAGATCTATGGCTAGATTTAAGTGATTCACTTAGATCTAACACAAATCTATTCTTATAAGTGTCTAATCTATAAACCTAGTTAACAATAGAATGCATTATGTTATATTCACCAATGTATATACATGTGTGACACAATGATGGGTAGAGTGTCTTAGTAATTACCATAGTATGTGAAAGAAAATACATGTGGTAGATTTTTATAATTTTTATAGGTCATGATTAGGCATGTTTAAAAATTTTAAACAAAATTTTGACTTAATTGTAATAAATAGGATTTTAGTTGCATAAGAAATTAAATCAAAAAATGATAGTCAAATATTCAAAAGCTTGTCCAAGTATATAAAGTGAGAAGTTAGTTACATAGTTGCAATCTTCTTTAGATTATAGGACCTTTAAAAGTAGACAAGTCCTATATATTAAAAGTCTTTCAAGTTGGAGATTTATTAGACTTTACTTGCAAGGATATTAGAGATTAAGGAATTTGTTTTTGGTTTCAAGCAATATGTTTGGATGAAACAATAGCAAAAGTATAGTAAAAAAATAGCAAGATTTAAAATATATTATTTTATATCTTTAGTATTATTAAAAGTCCTTTTTTATATAATTAGAAAAAAAAATTATAATTATAAAAAATCTAATTTAAAAGCAAGATTGAATTATAAATAAACCATTATAAACTATATACAATCTCATTTTATAAGAAAATTTTATCTTTTAAAAAATATATATAATTCTGAAAGTTATAATTTTAAATTCTTTAAATTATTTTAGTGTAGAATTCTACTTAATCTTCAAAAGCAACAAGAAATAAATCTTTTAGCAAAGAGACTTTGTGGAAGAAAATAAGAAGAGGTTATTGGTAATAAATGTTTGTAATAGAGTTGTAGAATTAAAGACAATATAGTTGGAAGAAGATATAGTGTGCATGATATTAGTATACAAACATAATGTAGAATTAAAAATATAATATTAGTTTATAAAATGGTATATTGACAATTCATGTGTTATGTAATGTTTTCAATTATTATTTTAAAAAATAAAAATATACATATATTTTTATTTTTTGATTTGAATCATATTAAACTATTTAAAAAAAAAAAACAAAAGTCCTTAAAGTATTTAAGGTTGCACAACTTGCTATGTTATAAAGTACAACAACAAAAGAAAAGAAAAGAAAAGAAAAATAACAACAACAACAACAACAACAACAAATATATATATATATATATATATATAGAGAGAGAGAGAGAGAGAGAGAGAGAGAGAGAGAGAGAACTACTTCTTATATTGAAGAACTTTGTTATTTAACTTTATTATTCAATATTGTCTAAATGTTTTATAACAAGACCAAGGTTCTTACTAAATTGAGAATAAATGCAACAATTAAACCAAAAATTGATCTATTTTCTAAGTCAATGGAAATAATATTTTTTAAATTAAATTAATAAAATACCTTGTTATGGTTTTTTACATTGTATTATTTTATTACATATAAATACAAAAATGTACCACATGAAGACTCAAGTCCTAATAACATCTAAAAATAAATGTAGCAATTAAGCTAAAAAAAGATTTGTCTTCTAAAAAGATGGAAATAATATACATTTTAAAATTAAGACCAATAAACTACAATTGGTTTCTATATTGTGTTATTTTGATAAGCATCACTGTAGAAATGTTACACATAGGGACTCAGGTATTAACAACATCCAAAATTAAATGCAGAAATTAAGTCCAAGAATAGTCTATGTCATAAAGTATAGAAACAATATATCATTCAAATAAAACTAACAAATGTCTTAACTTGGTCTTTTATGTCACCTGGTTTTATTTTACACTAATACACAAATGTTCCACATAGCAACTTTAGTGCTAACTACATCAAAAAATAAATGCAGCAATTAAGCTAAAGAATATTTTGTCTCCTAAAAGATGGAAACAATGTATTTTTGAATGAAAATAACAAATACCTGTAACTTAATTTTTTATATTAATTAATTTTGTTGCACACCATTTTTCCAGAGTGTATTATCTTCTATCACCCTTTCTATCTTCATATAATTTATTGTTTCAATAAAAGATATATTTTATGGATCTTTCTAATTCTATTCCCCTTTTTGACTAATCGAGTAATACTGTTTGTTAGTTTTCTCAAAAGCGACTTTTAAAGGAGAAATTTTACCTCTGTGAAAACAAAAGAGAAAAAAACTGGATAATGGATAATAATGACAGCTGAAGTAGGGAAACAAGGAGAGGAACCAGGTGAACGACGGCAACGAGAAACAAAGAAGCAGCAACATGGTTAATGGCATATGCAAACTGGCAAATACACGATAAACGAATGAGGCGAAGGAATCAAGCTCATTGCCTTGAAGGTTTGAATGAGCGAAAAAAATGATATTCCTGATGTTCGAAGTGTCTCTCAAGCTTGATGCTGCAACTCGGTTCATGGCTGGCCGACCAACACAACAAACTAAAAGAACGCTCACTTTGACAGCCTTCTTGTGCCACAGCGCTACCCACTACAGCAGAAAAAGGGTTTGTGTCAAAGCTAAGCCACTGCCACTAGGCTAATATTTGACAAATGCTAGAAATCTAACAAATATAAGACCTTTACAACCTGAGAAACTAGTTACAAGCTCCAACGTTTCACAATCCAGAAGATGTCAGGCTTGGAATCTGTAGAAATAAAGGGTTCTTGGCACCCTCAAATTTTGACTATATGTGCCGTCCGCTAGAGGGCCACGGCAACTTGAGTAACCCCCATCTCGTCAATCACAACTCCAAACTTGTCTTCGCAGTCCACTCGGTTCAGTGGTGGTAAAGAAAAGATACTCCGCGTTGAACTCTGCCGGATCTCTTTCATGGTTCTCAATGCCACAACTGTGCTCCTATAGATCGTCTCCACAGCCTCTCCAGGCGTGAAAGGGAGAGCTTGGCTGTCGTCGAAGTCTGCAGGAAAGGTTTGCACGGTGGTCTCCTGCTCCAGTTGACTACAAATCGACTCCAATGGTGAAACTGGGAAAAGTGAGTGCAAGTTGTTCTCACACTCGCGCACCAGTTTCGAGAGCAGTTCTGTTGTGAAGAACGGCTGAAGCAGTACACTCTGAATAAAGGGTAATCTGAGGACAGTTCCTGTCATTTTATCGTGTTTCTTCAGAATCTTCACAAGACCTGTACATAGAAGTTCCACGGAGTTAGTTCTAATATTCAATAAATATGGAGATTAGACTAGTACACAGAAACTGAAACAGAGGCCACAGCACTTGCTTATACTCATCTCTGCTACAAAGGAGCACTTCTGAATTGTTATTCGCTGCAGATTCGTTTCACTCATTGTCTTTCGTGCCCAGAGAGACAGTGGGAGTGTTCGATGTCTCGTGAAGGGAACTACTCAATGATGTAAATCTTACAAGTTCCGAAGCTAAAAAAAAAAAAAGGACCCTCAAGATTACATTTATCATATTGCTTCACTAAACTGGAATTCCAAAAAACACCGCCTACGTTTAAACCGGGGGGGGCATGTTATTTTATAGCATTAAGGATTTACCTATATAATTCAACGAGCTATAGTTCTCCAAGAGAACCATTTCTCCATGAAAAGTCACAATATCTCTCAAAATCTTCAGAAGCTCCTCATTTCTGGCGTTCTCGCTGGCACATCCGGTGTTGGCTGCTTGTTCTTTCTTGACTGTCTCAATTCTGAATTTCAGCTCCTGTACACAAAGAAACAAAATGAAAGCACCGCTTAGACGCTACTTTCAGAGTAAAAAGTACGTAAATAGTTAAGAAAAAGGTCCTGACAATCGTATGTGTAAGTTAAACCATGCGAAAGCAGTGTACAACCTTCAGGTGAGAAAATAAAAGAACAAATGTCGCATTATGAATCAACATGTATGCCGATGAACATCGGAAGAAAAGCACTTCGAGATCGACGTCGTGGTGACCAGTACCTGAAGACGAATTACATACTCCTCTTCCTTTTCAATGAAGAAGACATTCAATTTGTTCAGTTCCTTGTTCAAAAGGGTAACAAAGTCAGCCTCTCCAGAGAACATCGGAGTTCCGTCATCAAGCTTTATTCGTTTAGATTTTCTTTCTACAGATAAATCCTTGTGGTTTTCCTCGACTTTCCCCGTGTCTGCAACGGCTCCGCCATGCAGGAACTGTTCTACACTTGAAACTGTTGATTCCAATGCGGCATTACCTTGGGAGGATTTCTGCCCCGCCGTCAAACCGCTTCTGGAAAACCTAACTGCATTCTCAGAGAGTTTGCAGAGGAAAGATTCTTGAACGGAGGCTGGGTCACCAGCTCCACTTGTGCTGCGCAATTCTTTATCGACAGCATCAACAACTGAGTTTACGGCTTGATCCGCCCCTATCAAAGACGGGCTCACCATTTGATCGAAAGCGGCCTCGGAGAAACAAACCGGGGCTTGAAGTCTCTTCAAACTCTTCTTGAGCTTCTTGTATGCAATGAAGTGCGGTCTCCAATCGGGCATCGTCTCCTCTATCTGACTCTGCAATCTCTTGCCGAACTTCATCTTGCCGATGGGAGTCTTGTCAGTCCGCAACCACAACAAAATGAAATTTGTTTTTCAAACAACGCAACTTCAACGAAGTCACGTTCCGATTGCTTCTACTCTCTACCCCAATATTTGGAAATCCGGCGCGTCAAGTACTTCACTCAAGGTCTGGAACGAAGGCTCCTCGAAGTTTTCAACAGAAAACAATCCGCTCTACTTCAGGTAAGTAAGCAAGAGGAGAGTGAGCCTGGCAGAGGCACGATAATGAACCCAAGATGTAGGCCAAATGCTGGCTAATTTTCCATCACACATGCTACGAATGAGACTTCACTTGCATTTTCAGAGTGCACTGCGTCCTTCCGTTGAACTCGAAGCTTGTAGTTGGGCCTGACATACTTGAACATCGAACACAGAATGAAGAAAAGAGCCGACTGTATTCACAGACAGCGCACGCAAGAGAGCATCCAGATTGCGCCAAATCCTTCTCACTACCTCCTCACTAAGACCATTGAAACCACCAATCAGCCTGCAATACTCCTACGAGAACTTTTTTAAAAAAACGCCAACGGTCCGCAATATTCAATGCTCCAACCTCGCACGGCCGCAGCACCTTCACAACTCCTTCAGCAAACAGCTACCAAATACACCATCACCCTCTCGCGATGCACTACCCCGATCACCGTCGCACAAACGAAATCGAACCACAACGTCCCGCAACACCTGTACCAGCTCCACGCGAACCCGGAGTTGCAGCTCTCCCTCAATCTACACTACACCACAGCGCGACTACGACGTCACGCCAATCCAGCCACGAAACCTCGTCCTCCTCCTTAACGATAGCCGCAGACTCTACTAAGCGACAATGAAGAGAAAGAGCACAGCAGCTAATGGTTGAGCCAGGGTGCGCTCGCTCAGGGTTGCAATTCAACGTTGGAGACAATCCAGCGTCACCGCAGCTGAGCACTCACTCAATGAAGAAAGCTGGCGGACGGGCGCACAACAACAAACAGGTGAGCGGACAACAACAACAACAAGCCCCTCTTTCGACGCTGCGACTCTTCTTCCCCGCGAGGTCGGGGCTATTATACCACACTCCCACCCTTTTGGGAACCGGCGTGTCGGCCGGGAACACATAGTTCATCCAGATTGTTGATGAATGTCTTGTGGAGTGTTCCTCATTCGTGGTTTTGGTAGCAGCGCTAATCTGCGCTCTGTGATTACTTCACTTTCAGTTGTTTCATATCACCCGAGATCAATATGCAAGTATACTAAAAACCCTGTAAGAATTATTAATATATATATATATATATATAAAGATGTGTGTGTGTGTGTTGAACTTGAAGGTTTGTTCCTACAATCAGATGGATTAGTTTGATGGAGAACTAATTCATTGTATTGTTTTGAATACACATGTACTATGGTTAGGTGATCAAATATGAAAAAGAGTTGGTTGAATGGTTTCTTTTTTTTATTGTGATATCAACAATAACAATGCTCGGCAATCTATCGTCAGGTGTTAACACAAGGGACAAAAAGGTATGGATGGGAGGGAAGGGGGGGTGAGGCCATGTAGCTATTCGCCTCTACAAAGAGAAAAGGGGCTTCAAAAAGAGGTGGCAGAGTTCAGCTCAGATATGAAGAAAAGGACCCACTAGCAATACAATACAAATAATAATCATAATCATAATAATAATAAATAAACAAAACAGTAACAAAAACAAAAACGAAAACTCCATTCACTCTGCTTGTCACTGTGAAGATCCCACTCACCCTCCCCCACTTTTCGTCCTTGCTAATTTAGCGGGTCCAAGTAACGGGCCCGGTAAAATTAGCCCAGCCCGCTATCTCGGATGCGAATAAATGCAAAAATCACACCCAGGATGGCGGGGGTTCCAAGGGCGTGGAAGTCTTTGAAGGGGGGGGGAGAGCGAGAATGCATTCACATTTTCTTTTTCTTTTCTTCATTCGGTAGTATTTCTTTTTCGAGGGTTGTGGAACCCACCCGCGTTCCCCTGATCGGTGGGGGAGGGGGCCCTGACCCGTGCCTGCAATTAATTAGTGTGTGTGTGGGGGGGGGGGTGTTTCTAGGGGAACACTGTTCCCCTGCGGGGCAGTAGGAGGGAATAGGGATATCCGGGTACATGCTCTTTTGGTTCCCTTCGGATATCCGTTTCTCCCCCTTTTCTACTTTCCGGGACGGGGACATAGGGCCCTACCACCACCCCGCGCCCCGCCATTCCCGAGGCGGCTGCTAGAGTTTTAATTTTAATTTTAATTTTTTTTGCATATTTGTTTTATGAAAGCCCTCGTAGTGGGACCCACATTATCCTCTCCGAAATAGGTCAAACCACGACGGAAGTTATGGAAGCAACAAGGGGCAGAATTATAACACACACACGCACACCAGCAAAGCAAAGCCTCCTCGTCTCTCATAACTGCGAGGAGGAACATCTTCACTGACACACTTTTGTGTACGATTTTTTTGTTTTTCCCGAGCTGTGCGTTACGTTGTCGAGTCTGTGCACATCGGAGTATGCATCTTTCCAAAAACCGTTTCAAGAGTTGTACACTGACACTGTTGTTTTTTTTCCCCTGTTGATTGGTGTGGTAACCGTAGGGTTTAGGCATGAAAGAAATATCCGAAACGCACAAATCTCCACACCTTCGTCGTCGCTGGCGTGGATGGAACGTGCTTCTGGGAGACTGGATGATACCAGTATATCCACAGCTTGGGAGGGGGAAAGGTGCTCGGGGATGGCGGAAGGATGTTGGGTACAACATGTCGTCTCTTTTCCTCTCCAGATCCATCTTCCTGGGAAGAACCTAAACGTCGCCTTTGAACTCGAGAGCAACTGTGCATTTGTTGAACCATCTAGAATTAGAAAAAAGCTACGGATTCAGAAGCCGGTTTTGAGGATGGAAATTACCCACCTGTGTGATCAAAGCAATCCAACAAAGTCATTTCGACACTCTGAAAAGGAGTTCACGGACTTTTCTTTGCTGAAATGCAGTGTGTGAAAAAGTTTAAACTAAACTGAGTATATCTTTGCATATTTGTTTGACCTTTCTGTCTGGACAGATCAGCACCTCGCCCCCAACTGTTCTGTTTTGTCTTGTTTTTTATTATTTGTTTTTGTTTGTTTGTTTGTTTGTTTTGTTTTGTTTTGTTTTTTTTTCTTCTTCCAGTATTGAGGCATCCGGTTTAGAGATAATGCTTCGCAACACGAAAGACCAGGTCGTCTGATCAGCATTGATATTTTCACCACCGCACTCATCCATTAGTGAAGGACTGATGCTCGGACTATCACACGACCAAATGTGTCAGGGGTCCGTTGTTGCGAACCGTGAAGCTTCATGGAGTGAGGACTATTACTACTACGGCGACGACGAAGACGATCATCATCATCACAGTGATATTTACATATAGTCAGCAAGCCAGGAACGATACCCAGCTATGCTTCACTTATCGACCGAGAGTAGCAACAACTGAAGAAGGACCGAAGCTTTATTCGACAGGGGTCGGTATCGTCTTCTACGCCGACCAGAAGCCAGAGTTCACAACCAATCTGGAACCAAAGTTGGATAAAAATGGTGAAGCATGCCCCTCAGGAACAAGACGAATCCTGGCAAAAAAAAAAAAAAAAAGAAAAAAAAAAATGAATGAATTGCGAGATGTCTACCGGTGCAATCAATGAGGATTAACTCTAGTTTCTAAACCAACAATGTATGAATCTGAACACCGCAGCAAGAACTCGGTTCATCTCACACTCCATCAGTAGTTGCTTCACCTCACCTGTATCAAATCACCATTCCTGGAGATTCTGTCTATTGATGAGGTCTCAATAAAATGATGGAAGGCTGCGTAAGTGAAGATGGTTGCAATAATGCCTGAGCCATCAACAATGCAAGACGGTTTGGTAGGAGCAGTTTTGGTCACAACGTTGTCTTCGTGTGTGTGAGTGTGTGTGTCAGAATCTAGTCCTCTGAATGCTTCCCAGAACTCAACATTTTGAACTCGTTGGTAACTACAAACAATTTGCACACGATTGGAAACTACACCACATGAGAGTACCTGCAGAAAACTGGCCGAAGAAACCTAAACGCAGTCATGAACCACAAAAGATGCGTTTTTCTCAATTTCCTGTACAAAACTTGGTTTTTTAATTTTAGTGAAACTTGACCCATCTTCGTGTGGGGAGCTGAATGTGATGCACGAAAATAGAGAGCGTTGTTCCAACTCTTCGACAACCCACATCACAGACTCTCACAAGTGTACATGGCGTGTTTCTATTTCTATCACCATTTTGTTGAGGTCTCTCTTTATGAAGAAGATGGAATATATATTGTAAGTTGTTGAAAATGACACACACTAAAGTCTAAATATTTCAAACTTTAGTGGCAGCCAACAAAGTGGACTGACAAGTGAAGCTAACTAGACATGTGGGTATTTGTTTTTTTGGGGAAGTGTAATCTTTTTTATAAAGAGAAGTAGGTGTTGTTACTTTGTACAATCTATTTTTGGAGATGGTAAGAAGTTGCAATTAAGAAAATAGTTACAACATTCTTATTACTTTTATATATATATATATATATATATATATAGTCACAAAGGTGACACACTTAAACCATCACATTAGTAATTAAAAAAAATTCAAGATTGTGTGGTTACAAATAGACCAAGCTTACATATGGTGTTTTTGTGCATTATATGAACTTCATTTTTTTCAGTTATGTTGCAAGATTTTATAGTAACTAGACCTACTAAATTCAAATTATATAATGTATGAGTGTATTTTTTGCAAAAGCAATACAAACAAAACAAAGAATGTTAATAAAATATGATTTGGCATGTAATTAAAAACAAAACAAAGAATGTTAATAAAATATGTTTTGGCATGTAATCAAAAGTCTATTTTTTTTTTTAATTCTTATAAAAGTCAATTTTTTTAGAAAATTTAATATTTTTTGATTTATTAGATTTATTATTAGTTAATTTTTATTTTTTGTGATAGTATAATATATATTTTTTAATTCAATTTTTGAGTTATTGAACCAATTTATAAATTTAAAAAATATATGTTTCTAATGATGTAAAAAACTTATAGTTATAAACCTTTAAATTTTATTAATTACAAATAAAATGTTTAAACTTCAATCTCATTCTTCTATTTTAGTTTGTAGACATATATATATATATATATATATGAAAAGCATATAAATAATGGTTACCAATTAATTATAGTGTTATTAGAATACACTTTAAATATTATAAACTATGGTTGCTATAAACCATTATACATCTTTTTAATATAATATACAATTTAACTTTTATCAATTGGTTTAAAAATAACAATTGTATCAAAAAAATTGAGTATTCTTCTTGATTACTTTTGTAAAAGAAACTATTTAAAAATATTTTTTATAAAATAAAATATCATTAGATTTATTTTTCTTATATAAAATTATATATATAAACATTGTGATTTGATGTTTTTTTTTTTTTTTTTTTTTTTTTTTTAAAAAAAATAACATTAGAAGTGATATTAGTATAATTTTATTAATAATCTAATTTTTTTTTTTCAATTTTTTTTTAAAAAATTATATAACATATTTTGTAGCCTAATAATATTTGATGTTATTTAAATATACACTATTATATTTGTGTGTTATTTTTATATTTTTTCTTTTTCTAAGAACCTTTACAATATTTGTGTTGATTTAACACATATTAGATTCTAGAATTGACAAAGTAATTACATAGAATTCTAGAGCACCTTAATCTTAATATGATGTGATTATATAGAAATGTATAAATGAACTCTCTTTTATAGTTGCAGTGATTCTTTACTCATTCGGAAGCTTACATGGAGAGGCTCCCACCCAATGAATATCACCTCAAAACTCACCAATCCAAGAAACTGATTTTTGCGAATCCGAGGCCGTTCAACAATGAACTGACTGTAAATAAATAAATAAAAACGGTGCACTGTAACTACAACAGCACTACACACAGAGAGTTAACAAGATCCAGGCAACATTGGCATCGACACTGAGATGAATCAACAACAGGATCCGCCTGGCTTTGGCAACCAACTGCAAGTATTAGATGGGTGAGAGAGGAAGAGAAACAACAGAAGAAAAGATATAGATACAGCAGAGTGAGGGAGCAAGAAAACAAAGAGATCTAGGCTGTCGTGGTTGATATAATATTCTTAGATCGGTGCCATGTTTTGTTGGCGTCTTGTATCTCCCGGTGTTGCTCATCCCTCCCTGGTTGCCTCTTCGACCTCACACCTTGCTTGCACATTTGCTTCCCTCGGTGATCGTGTTCCAGTCGATCAATAATTTAGAGAAGCTTCTTCGAATACCAAGTGCACAATCTGAACTGGGTTACTCTGTTGATCTGAATACAGGTTTGAATCAAAATACCACAAGATTACTAATAAACTACATACCTCAAAAGATTCATTCTCCAGAAACTTTCAGAAACACGCTCTCACAAAACCAAGCGAAGACCTCCACAAATAAAGGGTTGGGAGATGCTTCATCGATGTTTTGGTGGGTGCTTTGTGGGCATTCTTTCAGCATTTTGCAATGCATAGCGAGCTTGGTTTTGAAAACCGTGTGAAATGTGCCAGAAGTGCCCACAAGGAGTGGGTTTGGACTGGGGGTCTTGCAGCAGCAGAAGAAGAAGAATGGGATTTGTCTTATTGATTTGCTTTTGGAAAGACTGCATCAAAAGAGGTTGTTGTCTCTTCTTTTGGTTTGTTTTGGCTTGGAAGTTAGTGTTTTGTAGATATTTTTTTTCTTTTTTTTCTTTTTAATGCTAGTCTGGTGGACATGAAACTATCAAGAAAAACTGTAAAAATTATTAAAGAAGAAAATAAAAATACACTTGTGTGTTTCGTGGCTTCTGGCCACCAAGTCAACATTTTAAGAGTAGATGAATTGATGGCAATAATTTGTGCTATTTTTGTGTTTGATTCAGAAGAAGAATATTTAAGAAATTCGATTCAAACTAAAATTCTAACCAAAAGTCTATATTTGAGGCTTTAAATAATATTTTAAAACTGGAACAAATGAAGTTTTCCTTGAAAATTATACTTATGTCACTGAATACAAAACAAAAATAAACAAGATATATATATATATATATATATATATATATATACATATGTATGTAATAAAATTAAAGTGAACAACAATGAATATTTGGAACCAATTATTATAATAATTTAGTTGCATATTAAATGAACTAAAAAGATACTTTAAAATAGTTGAAGTTAAACATTTTACTCCAAAATGATCAACACATAATTTTTCAAAAATCTTTGACTGCCATTTGACCACTAAACATAAATTTTCATGTATGTATATATATACACATGCACACACAAATTAATTGATTAAATATAAATTCCATTGAAGCTTTGAAATCCAATTTGGATTAGAGCTGCAGTGCATTTTCTATGTTTATAGATTTCCATTCAAATGTTCAAAACCACACATCATAAAGTATTTGAGGTTTCATTTCTATTAAAAATTAAAAATGAACTCATCTAAAATATTGAAAGAAAAAAACTTGATTTTAAGTTTACGTCTATTGTACAACTAGTGATAAAAAATTGATTCACACCTGTAGGATTAACACTATTTTGAAATCCATGATTTAAAACATGTTTAGTATTTTTTAACTAAAATTGAAATGACACTGGATACAATAAAAGTTTGTTTTCAAAAAACTTAAAAACCCTGCATTAAAATAAGCCATTGCCCTAATCTTGATATTAACAAAGAAATCGTAAAAAACAAATGAATTGTTACTTTGCCATTACAAGATAAGTTCTATATACCTATTGAGAACATACACATTTACCATTTGTAGATGAAGCAAAGTGCATTGAAATATACTGGTAGATGTGTGTCTCTACATGTCCATATATTAAGGGATAGTTTGCTTACGGCTTGACAAAGCTGCTCATGTATAAGAAACATTGACTTGGTAGGGCCATCCTTGTCATAAGGCGTGGTTTGTTGTTACAAGTACCACACTTTGAAAACTATACCTCACATTGGCTTTTGCACTAGTGGGTTTTAAGAAAGAGAAGATGGAATAGGTTATTGAGACCCATTGACTACCAGCTAGAGAAGCAGCCAGATAAGGAAGCAGGTTTTGCAATTGGCATATGTACATGAATTGAACTTGAACTTAGTGCAGACCAACGCTCAATTGCAACGTCAGAGACTTTACAAGGACTCCTACCCTGGTGAAGAACTTCACAGATATTAAAGATTTAACAGAATCAGTAAATTACAGTTATTCTGCAGCTCCAAAATCACAACTAAGCCTATGCAAAACGCTGCTTGAAATATTGAAGTCCACCACCTTGCCAACACAAGTCTTCCAAACCCAATATAAATAACATTGCCCGTGCTGTTCGTTTACAGTATTCTGGAGCTTAATAACCAGGGAGATGTGCAACACTTGCTGTCTAATAGGTTTATCATATACAGCGACCCACACACCATAGATGACGCAAAGGACCTCAAGTACTTGTTTCAACCCATATTACGGTCTTCTAATCTACTAACATTTGGTCCACACTATTCTGAAGCAATCGTGACACATTTATCATAATAATGAACTACAACAACCTATTAACTAGATTGGGTTCTTAAAACCAATTAAATTCTCAAAGCAAGTTATTTCACTTGCAAAACACGTGGTATCCAGGTAACGCAAGAAAATAGGAAGCAATGAGATCCACCAGAAGCTGGAAAAAGATCTTCAACCATTCCACGTCATCATTGTCCTGCAAGGAAAGACAGGAACCCTTCCCTTCCCATCCTCCATACCAAGCAACTAAGCTTTGCTCCTTACAGAAACAAGAACCAAGACGGCATATATACATTGAAAAAAAAAAAAAGGAAAAAAAAAAGAAAAAGAAAAAGCGAGAGTGAGAGAAGATGATGCACAAATTCACCGCTTCCAGTGTGAGGGAAGACCATGAGTGTTGGCTTCACATAAAAAAGGCTAGAAAGCACGTGTGAATCCAGTGGCTATGTTGCTGAACACTTACCTATAATAGGCTTTGTAGGGTACGTGCCACAGCTGCAGCGTAAACAATCCTGAGAGCGTTCGCATGAGTTCCTCCCAACCCACCACCCCAACCCCGCCCTCCCACCGTTTTTCCAGGATTGAAGTGGAACTCAAACCATCTAGTAGATACTATAACCTCAAAGAAATAGCAATGCAAGGACAGGCTGCAGTAATCTAGGAGACTATATCTAGTAAACTTATCTAGGAACATGATAGTACATCAGCACACAGATACAAAATGCTATATTCACGCTCAATGCTAGACCTTCACAAAAAACTTGCAAAACACTTACATGTTTCACCTAAGATATGATGTGCTCAGCTGCGAAACAGACAGACAATCCTGAGCCCGTGCCCAAGTACCTCCCAGCCAAACCCCAAAAGCCCACAAGCATTCAAATCCTGTCAAGGACTACCCCAAAAAAGCAAGTGTTTGCTGTGTACTTGCTGTTCATGACACTTCACAACAGTGCTACCAAATTGTTCAAGTTCACAGTTACTACCACGATCTCTTCCACTGACTGATGTTTTAGCTAAAGTAGAAAAAAGAATAGAACTTACAATCAACAACTAAAAGGGCCTGGGAAAATCGAACTAACTACTGTAAATTGTGTACACAACGCATTCAAGAACCACAGTTACAACAGACAGTATTTAACACCAAGATTATTTCTTGGAAATGATGAAAAGGTTACATAGTGTCAACAGATTTGAACCTCATCCTATGCATAAGGTGAATATGCCAGTCCGGAGCTACCTACAATGATTGGTATGAGCCAGAGCATGTTGATAGGATAGACCGTCTCGGAGCCAAAAGTCCGTAACAGAGGCGGCCTGCTTGATTGCCATGTCCGTCCATGCTGCATACAAGCACATAAAGAAAGGACAAATAACCAGCCAGGTTTAACCATTCCCACACATCCACCCCCCACCTCACCTCCACCCCATCCCCACCCTGACGTTCACGTGCTGAAAGTGCATCCACCAACTGAAGTCTTGAAGAACACGGCTCCATTTCCTTGTCAACTTGAAAAATCGCCTGCATGGGCCACACGTACCCCACCAGCCTCTTCGATCAAGCTTGTACAGACACGAAATAAATCAGTGTATCAAAACCTACCAGCAACCCTTGTTAATAGCTCTAACTCAAGATTCATGTCCTAAGATCTGCTAACGCAAGGATGGCTCACTACCATGTAATCCCTTAGTCGCTGGAGCTGGGGCTCTCTGTCGGCGACTTGGAGGGCTCTCTACGTTTCTTCTTGTGTCTGCTAGAGGACTTCTTCCTCGCCACCCCTTCATCAGATTCCAACGTGCCCTCCACCGAAGGTGATCTCTCAGACGACTTTTTTGAACGGTGGTGCTTATGCTTTATGATAGTTTCATCATCACCCCGCTTACTCTTACCTCCACCAGATGGAGATAATTCAGGAGACTCAGATAGAAGTCGTTTCTTTCGATGCAGTTTGTGTTTGCGGCGCTTCTTCTCCCGTTTCTCTGGGTCATCTCTCCTGTGCTTCTTCTTGTGCCGCCGCCGTTCCTTACGCTGATCTGCATCCTCAACGTCATCCTCATCTTCAGCTTTTTCAACATCATCTTCATGACGATGTTTCTTCTGATGACGCCGATGGCGTTCACGACGACGGTCTTGATCTTCGTCATCATCCCCTTCTTGAGATTTTCTCCTACGTCTCCTGTCCTTGTCGTGATCTTCTTCATCCTCTAGTGATTTCTTTCGAGACTTCCTATCTCTCTCTTCTCCTTCCCCGTATACATCTCGCGACTTTTTCCTGACTCGAAGTTCGTGATCTTCCCCTTCAGTACCCACACCTCGTGATCTTCTCCTTTCTCTCCTATCATGATCTCCTTCCCCGTCTGATATCTCAACAATTTTCCTTCGCCTTTTCTTCTCATCAACGTCTTCATCCATTTCCTCGTCTCCTTTGGATTTACCGTTGCCGACATTAACGTCATCTTCTCCATCAAACCTTTTAGATTCTTTTAATCTTGCATCCACTTCTTCCAGAACGTCCATCTCCTTCACACTCTCCGTTATGAGTATTTTATCGTCTCTCGATTTCTGTGCATATTTCTCCTCTCTAACGTCTGTGCTGACAAGTTTTTCAGAAACTAGATCTGGTCCCATCATTCTTTCTCGAACTTTCTCTTCTACGACCTGAGAAGTGGAAATCATGACATTGTCATAAACACTTGCCATATCGATCGACCTCCCAGAAGAGGCTTTCACCCTCTCCAGTTGAGACGGAACCAATTTTTGCGGTCCCTCTACCTGCATATCAGCGATACCAAGATCACTCTCCGCGTCCTTCGCGCCTTTGCGTTCATGGTCAATAATGTCCACATCTTTTTGAGGTTGTCCGACAGTCTTAACAACCTTTTCCTGCAACTCCTTGGCACCCTCTTTTGCAATTTTGGCTTCCCGGGTAAAATCGGAGGCCTTGGCGTTCTGCACTTCCCCCTCCTCGTCCTTGCTCTTTTTGCTAATGGGTCTATAGTTTTTCTCCCTATTCCTGTGTTTTTCTCGACCCTGCGATTTAATATCATCCCGCCAATCATCAATTACCTCTGTCTCTTCCTCCTCACTAACACCGTCACCGGCTGGTGTCTTCTCTTTGTTGCCCTTCTTCAATGGCTTCTTGAAACCTCCTACATCAGATCCTACAACAGCTTCTGGTGGAGGAACACCTCCACAGACAATATTATTGGAGTTCTCCAAACTGCTCGATTGTTTCCTTCTTCTATCTTCGAGGTCTTTCAGAATAGTTGCAGTATCCAGTTTAGTGTTCAAAGAGGACTTGATCTCCATCAAGACCTCATCAACTGGTAAATTTTTACTGGATACGGTTCCATTGCCAAGAGTAATATTCTTCGCAGTCGAATCACTCTTGAGCTGATCAGTTCGTGCAGAATCTACCTTGTCTGATGCTTTCTTGCCACCATCAACAGGGTCAAGAGCTCCTCTTTTTCTGGGGCTCATGGTGTGGTCCTTCGAAGCACTTGGGCTACCGACAACCTTTTCACCTTTTGGGCTGCCCTTCCTTCTCACTGGACTCCCACTTCCGCTGCGAGGAGTCTTTGAACGACTCCTTTTTACATCTTTTGAACGAGACCTTGTTGGCCTTCGGCTTCGAGTGGTAGCTCTGTGCTGTAATTCATAAGTGCGTTGTCGTCTAGGTGATGGAGATATTTCTCTGCAATTTTCCAAATCAAAACATCAGAGGTAGTAAGACGCCACGACCACCAAGTGAACAAGACTCCAAAGCTAGCAATTCGAATAATTTGAGCATGATGAATAAACTGAATTGCTATAAACAACGTCCCTGTGCACACAAATCCCTAAGTAAAGCTTCCAAAACTTTACCTGCGTGATCTTGAACCTGATCGTGTTCTTGACCTCCTTCTAACTCGATCGCGGCTTCGGCTGCGACTACGGGCTCTGCGGCTATTGCGCGAGCTGTAAGGATCTCTGCTATCTCTACTATCTCGCTCTCTCTCCCAGTCCCGCCTGGAATAATACGATGGGTACGGATCACGCCCACCCCTATATCGGGAACCCCGTTCCCTGCTCCGATAGTGATTACGGTCCCTAGATCTTGACCGAGATCGCCCGCGGCGGAGCCGAGCCGGAGTAGCCGATCGAGAGCGACGGTCTCGACGGTACCTTACAGGTGATCTAGACTTAGATCGAGACTTCGATTTAGAACGTGCCCTATACAAGACAAAATCCATAAAAGAAAATGTTAGACAGCCGGACACATGTGCTGCATCCAAAAAGTCCTAAAACATTAAAACCAAAACTCATGCAAAAATTAAATGCTCCTTTGTGCAATCACCGATAAACCAAACTGCGGAAACATGCTCAAGAATCTGATCACTTTTTTCAGAGAAGCATTTAAGATGACAAATGATTAAGGCTGCAACTAAAATTTACATTAATACCTATTGTGATCCATAAGAACAAGAAACACTCAACCTGGCACAAGAACTGAATTATAATTTGAGTGCTGCCTCTAAGCAGCCCACACATGAAAATGACACATTGAACTGAACCCATGCAATAAAATGATGTGCGTAAACATTAAGGCCCACCTAGGACTAGTTTTGGCTGGTTCGGATGCCGTGGTAGCTACTTCCACACCATCATTAGGGCCAGCCAGCCGTTTGGATATCTCTGCTGCTCGGGCTGATGCCATCTCCGCTGCAGATTTCACAGTGGCCGCTCGAGCTGCTGCTTGCTGCGTGGCAAGTGCTTGCTGCATATATAGAGCCTGCTGGAATTGCATTTGCTGCATGACTACAGCTTGTTGCATCATCATGGGCAGTTGAGGCGGTCCCATTCCATTCAAAGTAGACCCAGTGCCATGCTTTCCAGATCGTGGTTTTCTTTTCAACTCAACCTTAAGATTCTGTCCCCCAACTGGCATATCATTGAGAGACAGCCCAGCCTTCGCACCTTCTGGTCTTGAGTACTCCACGAATGCAGTTGTTTTAGATTCTGACATAGTACAATCTATAACTGTTCCACAATAGTTGAATAGCTGGCGTAGTTGATCAGCAGTTAAAATAGGGTTGATATTGGTCACTTGAAGAGTACAAATTGGCTCATTACTGTCTTCGTCGTCCTCTTCTTTCCCATCAACATTGTCTTGACCTAGATTAATTCACAATTGATGTCAGTGCATACGATGGTTGAGATTTACTACAATGCCCGATTAGAACAAAATCGTTTCAATTATATTTCAAGACCTTGAAGCTGTTCAGCATGACGTTGAACCGAAGATAAACGAAACCAAATGTAAAGCTCAGAACCCTAAATTTCTGATAAAGCTGAATCAAATACTCTAGGCATTGACAACACTTAGTGGTATGCTCTTCAAAACCGTGGACTTGCCGAGGAAATCTGAAAAGGTAAAAACATGCCTGGAAGCATTTATTCCAGTCAGTAACCCGAAAAACTAAACACCCTACAGAGATATGCCTCTGAAGAAATAAGCAAAAAATTGGAAAAGAAACAAGAAACATCTTAAATTTCACCCCATCGATAAATTGTGACCATGAAGCCAGTATACGCCTTACTCTTTGATATGACCTCACACGCCAGCTCGACAAACCCAAGTCCAGATTTCAGAAACGATGAGTATTCAAATATCATATGTCAACGGATGTGAAAATTAACTTATTGTTTCTCATTTAAATAAATTAACAAAAACTCATGTAACACACCTGCTTGCTGTTGTTGCTGCTGCTGAGCTGCTTGTGCCGCCTGAAAAGCATTTGCTGCCGCAATGCTCTGTGCAGCAGCCATTGCTGCAGCAGACGGCGCCATGGGCATTTGACTCAATCCTCCCATTGTGCTCCCTGCTGTCAAGGCGGCCATCAATTAATTCTAAGAAGGGTGATTGTAGTTGCAATCTGTCCTAGTACATCGTCCATGCAAACAACCTCTACAAACTTCACCAAAAGCAGCCCCAAGGCCTGGCAGGAAGACCCCACCTGAAGCCTCCGTCACAAACCCCAATTCCAACATACCTGGAAACATCCCCGGCATGCTGAAAGCCCCCATTTGCTGACCTACACCGATGTAGGACGAAGCACCAAGCATAGGTGTCGATGTGGGGATCATACTAACGCCGAGAGGCACATTCCCGCCGCTGAAGAAGACCGGGAACGGGCTCCCCGATATCGGATGCCCGTTGCACTCCACCCTCACCATGTAATCTCCTCGTTTCGCCACTGCATACGTCGCTGTGTACGTTCCATCCGCATGGTCCTTCACAACCGCATCCTGCTCTACCCCTCCCACCCCTGCCCCTGGCATAACCCTAACCCTAATGTACGCTCCTCCGTGCGGAATCCGCCTCCCATCGGAATCCTTTGTCACCACCACGAACGACGCTGCCGCTCCCGCAGCTCCCCCTCCAACCCCCGTCCCCGCAGCTGTGCATTTGCCCGGATCCACAGGCCCTATCGGCTTCTTCGCCAATCGGTCTACCTCCTCTCCATCGCTATCCGAATCCACTTCCCTCCCACCCACCGGTGCTCCACCCTGTCCCTCCACATCCCGGAACGTAGCCTCAAACGCAGCTCTCGCCGCAGCTGCTTTCTCCTCTTCATCTTTCACCTTGGCATCCTCCGCGTGCTTCATCCAAGCGGGGCGCGTGAGAGCCATTCCACGCCCCGCCATAGCTTCCTCTCCCCCACCTTCAACCTTACCCTTTCGCCTCTCAACCCCAACTCCAACCACGCCAAATTAACTCCCTCCCGCAATCCACCAAACTCGTTCAAAATTTAGACTGGACCCTATTCCCCGCCTCCAAAAAACACCCACACAGCAAATGCAATCCAAGCTCCGCACTTCGCCTGAACCACCACCTCACAACCAAACACGGCAACCGTAAGGGCACGATAACCGCGACCGACTCAAGAATCTCAGCCTCGATTTCCAGACCGTCCTTCCAATCTAAGGTTCGGTTCGTACCTAGTCAGCTTCCGAGTAGGTTCGGCACCACTTACGCTGGGTTCAACGAAGAATCTCACAAGGTTCGGAGATTGACCTTCCCTTCTCTTTCTTTTTCTCAACTGCCTCAGCTTTCCCCATCTCTGCCATTTAGCTTCAGTGACTGTGGAGACGAAGCTGTGGACTTGAATGTTTAGGGTTTGGCCGTCCTCATGATGCAGCTCACTTCCCTCTGCCATGCTCATTTCTCTTCAGATTCTCTTCACCTGCTTAATTTCTCTCACTTTGTCTTGCACTGTACGCATTCTGTCCCTGTTTTTTTTTGTTGTGGAAGATTCACCATCGTTCTGCTTGATTGCCTTGAAGTGTTTGAATGGCAGTATTTGGGTTTCTCACATCTGGGTTTTGGTCTCATTTTGAGCTTGGATGTGGCTCTTATGGAATTCGAGTTCTAGTGTGTAGACCTTCGTGTTTTGTGGCTTTTGACAGCTGTGTAGTCCACATGGCCTGGAAGGTGTGCTCGTTGCCTTGGATAAGAGTCTTCCTTTATCTTTTCTTTTCCAGCACACTTCTACTTTTTATTCTACTTCTACTATTTATAAACTCAGAAAAGAACGAGCGTAATAAGCGTCAATATGGGGACGATGATTACTTATTGGATGCTTCATTGACCCCACAATTATCTAAGAGTAGTGAGCAGTCGATACTGAACTTACAACAGTACTCAGATCATAGATCCAGCTAATTTATTAAGATTTTAAGAAGAGCCCAAATTATTGGTGTTGAATAAGAAGTTGCCTTAGGTTTGCTGGGGCAGTTAGAAAGATAACTAAGAAATTGGAACGCTTATCGAGGTTTTGGAACTCGAAACCCAGTGTTTGTCCCCGAAATATTCGCTCACAGTTATCACGGTCGAACACAGGTACATGACCTTCGCTCCCAAGGGTAACTACTTCTCGGACTGAAAGAAGATTGAAGTGTAAAGCACGTATGAGAGCATGATCAAACTATCTTCTTTTTACCCGAGCAAAAGTCTCCTTCATTTGCCGTATCCAAGGTAGCCACCAAGCAACACCTACCTTGGCCAAATGCTAATCGGATGCTTTCCCGACAAAGAATGAAGATTATTTGAATGGATCGACCAGGCTTTGATTCCCGTGCAAAATCAACGCCATTTTGAAGACTCTAAAATTCTTCACAAAACAGCTCACTAAAGAACCGTATAAAGCACGAATTGCTGAACATGCACTGATTCACAAGGCTATTGAGAACGTAGGCAACTTCATAATAGCATAGCCGCACAGGGATGAAGAGCACTGTGATGAATCTTATTCAAAGGGAAGCATCACAAACTAACAAAGTACCACTACTTTTTTGCATGAGGAATTTAAGATATAACGAACTTTTCACGAGAATTAAGCAGGTTTCCTTCCTCCGCAAGTAAAATTTACTCATAGAAATATTTGTTAAGTATCAACGCAGGTGATGTATATTTCGGAGGTACCCTTGTAAAACAAGACTTTGCTAGTACACGAAAAACAAAAAGATTAAGGTGATTGTATTAATTTCTCTGTCATAAGAACAAGGGCAAGGTACATCCAGAAATATTGCTCAAATCTACAAGATGAATGACCAAACAAAAATTGATGTTGCACAGCAAGCTTCGGAGCACGAGCACTAAATCCTGAGGGTTGCTCAAGATTTCAAGTGACAGGTACCAAAATTTCTACTTAGAAGCCCAGCGCACACTCTGACGTATACCTTCAAAAATTAGACCAAGGGAACGACCAATGAGGCGCACAAGCAGAAAAGATACAGCTCCTCCCAATTTCTTTCCAAGAACTTGAAGTAGTGGACCCACTATGTCGGAAAGCTCCAAGTACAAGCTGTAGACGTATCTCCTGCCATTGTTGCACTCTAAGTGAATACAAAGCACTCACCACATTGTGATTCTTTCGAAACACAAGATATCCGTCTGATAGGTATCAGAACATAATTTCACTGTGTTGTCTGACGAGTAGGAAACCTTGCCTGTTCAGCTGTAAAAACAGCTAACACTAACCTTTTCTTCTAACAGGCATGATGCAATGTTCGGTATGGATTCTCAGTTTAAAGAGATTCGGTAATTAAAAAAAAAAACAAACAAACAAACAAACAAACAAACAAACAAAAAACAAACAAAAAAAAATTCAAAACAAACAAAGGAGCGGGTACCAGCCAGTAAGCGCCCTCAGCTCTTTGCTGCGTCGTGCTGGCAGCTCAATCGGTTTCAGTCTAATCTCCGTAACACCATCATCTTTTGTCGTCTGCTGACTCTCAATGGGTGTGGCTACTTCAGAATCGCGAAGTGTGTCTATTGTCCACAGTTCAAAACGATCTTCAAACATGGCTGCGACAGATGTAAAATTGCGCTGAAACCAACCCCGCAATGCAATCTGCGCGCCAACAGAGAAACTTTGAAGACCTAAAATAATCAAAAAGATCCTCAACCCCAACTTCCGCTTATCGAGGCCACCTTGGTTAAACCAATGAAGCACATAAAAGAATGAGAGCACACACACAATATACCTCATTTCGAAACCTCTCAAGTGCTCTTGTGGACTTAATAGAGGGCCGAACTAAGATTGGCCAGTCACTATCTCGACCGCCCATTTGTGGATCTCTGCCCAAATAAATAGCAGCTGCTCCGTCAGCTAGTGCAACTACAAGATCCTCAAGAGCATTACCAACATGCCTTGACATCACCATACAGTCACAACAGCTACCTGGCCTGCAGTGACAGACAAGGTACCCCTCAGACTTCAAGATTTACAGACAGAAATCCAGAGACAAAATTCTAAGTCACTGATAGTGGCTTGTCAGATTGTATGCAATGATATATTCCACTTCGTCGACCTTCTTGCCTTTTCTGACATCGTAAACAAGGAAGAGAATGAAGTAACGTTCATATGTTCATCGACCCTCAAATATAACTTCGGAAATTACCTCATCGTCTGAAATCGAAGAAAGAAAAGCAAATCAATGTACAGATCTGTCTTTCCAGTTCGTTGCAGATAATCTAAAACCAACGCTTTCCCTTGACTTATGCTGTCGGCATTCTGTGTAGGTGAAGGGTCCACTGCACCCGTCAAGCCGCCCGAAACTTTCGTCGGTTCCTCCACCGTAAAAATACCATTATCTACCATTTGAGCTGGACTTTGCTGATTTACACCCACCAAACGAGGTTCTTGGGCAAGCCATGTTTTACAAATAGGCTCAACCAACCCACAAAGCACATCCAGTGCAAGCTTTGACCACTCTGCTGCTGGCAATAGTTTACTGCTTACATTTATGGAATCAACCTGCATGAAAATAATAAAACATTAGAAAATCTATGATTCCAATTCTTAAAAAGATAGAGCTAATCTGGTCCTCAGATTTTTTATCCACAAACACGCTGTGCTTCTTCATTCCATGCCTTGCTTCCGCTCCTCATTTCAAACCTATTTCATAACTGACATTCGGTTGAATGAAGTCGATCCTATATTCTCATAAAGGAAAAAATTACTCCCGGATGAAGTTCACACACCAAAATATTGTCAAAACGTGCACTTAATATACAGGCATTGCCTGCGTGTTAAACCCTGACAACGAAGCACAAATCAATACTATTTTAGGTTGCGCGAGACAAAGGCTAGAGTTTAGTACCTGCCTCTGTGCGAAGTTGCTCCAAAGCAAGCACAAGCAACCGAAGCCTTGAACCAGACTCTAAAGCTTGCAAGTTCAGCACGGGGTTCCTAACTGCTCTATCTCTGCTCTCAAAAGAACCCACATCCTTCTCTTTCCTAGCTAATCTGGTAAGAGCTGCGCCAAACTTCGCTTGGACCTTACCCCATGAGTCACGTTCTTGAACTTCCGATTCAGATTCCTCAAATTCATATTCTCTGAATCAACATTTTCAGTCCAATGATCACACTTAGGATGTGCGCCATCATGGAATAGAGCCTAAGCCCTTGAATGCTATGAAACTGAAGATTGGCATTTAGAACGATTATCTCAAATCTCAACTTACACTATTGCAAAAATATGGAAC